TGTCATTTTTTTAACAGAGAGAGAGAGAGAGAGAGAGAGTTGTAAAACTTTGAAAGCTTAATTATGTATGCAAACGTAATGCAGATTTTTTTTAAATTCTTTGTCATTTTCCTTTCAAGAATTTTATTCTAAAAGCATGTTTTCTCTTCAAACATAATGTGTGTTTGTTTATATTTTTATTACTTGGAATTAAATTTTTTCTAGTACTTACATATATACATACGTATGTGTGTATTTATATGTGAAATAATCATAAAATGAAATTTCTTTTCACGTGAATGAAATAAAAAATTCATAAGAATAAAATTTTTTTTATTTCACATTTTTCAATACCAAAGATTTTTATAAATGTAAATTTTGTACATATTTAAATGTAAGTTTGTACACTTGTAAAATGTTAATATAATATTTCATTTTAACATAAATATTACACATATTTTATTATGTACAAGTACTTACTTACCTACATAAACTTACAAAAAGATTTAAGAACAGTTCTTGCAAACTTTTTTTTCGTATCGTCAAAATGCTCAACTTTTCGTTTTTCTTTTCTTTTTGCTTGTTATATTTGATCGTTTTTGTGTTATACTTGACTTTTTAAAGTTCGTGTTTACATTAATATTGAAAACGTTATTAAAAAAAAAAACAAAGAATTGAAAACCTTTTCTTACCTTTTTATTTTAGATACACGTGATAATTTTTACTCGCAATGAGATGCTAATTTTTATTTCTCGTTTTTTTTTATTACAATAGTCGTCGTCGTCGTCGTCGACTGCTACTAACCGCTATATGCTATACAAATAATTAAAGGAAAAAATATCTTTTTCCCCTTTTTTTTTTTTTTTTGTTTTCAATCCTCATTTTACGTTTTTATTTATGAAGTATAAAGATTTATTTTTTTTTTTATTTTATATAACATTATTGACTGACTGAAGAAGGAGAGAAAAAAAAAGGTGTATTGTAATTTTTAATGTCTGTAGAAAAAGTGTAGAAGAAGAAAGAGAAAAAAGATTTTTGCAAAGTCGAAAGAATTTTTTATTAAATAAAATGAGAAGAAAAAAAATAAATAAATAAAATTAGGTCAAGTTGGAAAGTTTTTTAAATTTGAATTTTTCTTGTCTGTTTTGCTTCTTTTTTTACAATTGTTTCATGTTTCTTGTTATTTCTTAATACTGATTTTTTTTTTCCTTTGCCTCTATTTTCCTTAATATTTTTTATTTCTTTTTTATTTATGTTACTTGCAATATTCAAATGAAAAATAATCAAATGAATTTTGATTCAAATTTTAAATAAAAGGATAATTGTGAATAATTTAAATTTTATGATTTTGACATAAAACATGACAAGTACATAAACCATTAAAAATTTTATTGAGTATTTGTCATATTTGAATGTTGAACATGCACTTATCTTGAATTACAACAACAAATTACCATAGGTCATGTGAAACAAATAAAAAGAATCCGATTTAAAAAAATTAACAATCTACGCCCTCTTGTTTTCAATTGAAAAATTAATAAATAACTAGAATAGAATAATTCGTGATAAAGAGAAAATATTCCAGTCAATTTCTTATCAAATTTGTTTTTCGAGCATGAGTATTTATCGATTTTTATTTAAAGTAATTTTTTAATTTTAATAATAAAATCTCAGTTCTGCAAATATTTATTTAAAATATGTCATTTTTTAAATGTACTTTTTCCATTTTTTTCATTCATCTTTTCATTCAGGTGTATAAACTACAATTGTTACGTCTAATTTTGAATTTTTTTCAAATATTGTTTTCATATTTTGTTGATTCATGTGCTGTTAATATACTTCTATTATTTGGATAGATGATTAATCGATAAAACAGACTTAATTTTATTTTGCAATGTTCATGGTTTAAACTAAACTAAAATAGCAGAATCAACTACAGTTATTGATATTAAATTTTGACAAAAAAATTTCAAATTATGTCATTCATAACATAATTTTCATCAAACTAATATAAGTATTGTCAAAATGATGATAATCTCTAAAAAAAAATGGTAGCTGATGGATTAAATTTTCATTTTCCTAAATATAATAATTTTATCAATATTAATACAACTTCAGCTTACTTCAAAAGATTTGAATGATTCCAAAATTTCCAATTTTTAAAAGCATCAAGCTTGAGCGAAATGTTAAAACTTTTTTTCAATATTTTTATATTTCAATTCATATTTTGAATTTGTACGCTACGACAGTTACTATTGTACTGCTATTGTTATTTGAAAAAAGCATGCTATCATAAATGAAGAAAGAAGGCGCTTGAACCACCACCCTACAATTTATAAAATTTTTGATAGAATACAGATTTTAATATATTATTAAAAATTCGAATAATTCTAATAAATTCAATAATTCTTAGAAAATTTTAGTAACTAAATAAACTTCTCTCAGACACTTTTTCTTGTTACCACAGAAATATAAATACATAGAAAAAAAAAACAGAATTGTATTCAAGTGTTAAAATAAATAAATTACTTTATTTTCATTATAAAAATCTACAATAATTCAAAGTTCATTCAAAATATTTCAAAAGCGTAGAAAACGATAATAATGTCCTTTAAAATTCTTTAAGGAATTTTTTTTTTCTTTTCATTTAGAAAACGCGTAGAATATCCGTTTTAAAAACCAAATTAATGCGCAGATTCGCTAATAAAAGAAATATGGCGCATAAAATTTCATTAAATCTATGGTTGCCGTCTGATTAAAAAGAAGAAAAATTTTAAAAATTCTGATGTAGAAGAAAAAAAAAATAATTAGTTTGTTCTTTAATATTTACGAGACCTTAAGTTTCGTAAGCTTTAAAAGTAAATCATTTCCTTTTTATGTATGAAATTTCGATAATCTAAAATGAAAAATGTCAATTAATTTGGAAATTGTCGAATTGTTGATTCGTTCAAATATTTCTTGAAAAGAATTTTGTCTGCCTTTGTTCTAGTACAATTTGTAATTGAGTACTACAAGAAAATGGTTATTGCGAAGTAATTTTTTCGTTTAAAGAGCAAAATTTCACTAAACTAAATTTTTGTAAAAATCCAGAAACTACAAAAAAAAAAGTGACATGACTATAAATTATTAATTAAATTAATTAAGTAAAAATTTAATAAATATTTATTTATTTTTTTCCTTAAGGCAATTAGAATATTTTTTTTTAATTTTTCCGCACCTGATGATGAACAGAGGGAAAAAAAAACTTTTTCTCATACTCTTGGAGGAAATTGAATAAATACCTTGCCATATCTTTATCGTATGTGTACTTTTAATTTATTATTGTGTTAGTTATTCTTGTTTTTGTTTTTTTTTTATATATATTATACATATGCACGAAGTACATATGTATTAAACACAAAAAAGGGGGAGAGTCAATTTTTATTTAATTTTAATTTTTTGTTTTGTGTTTCGAAAGTATGACGCGGCATGAAGATTCAAAGAAGGAGGAAGACGGCTTGTTTTCTACTTTTTTTTTTTTTTTTTATTTTTTCCCCAATGTGTGATAATAGTTGTGAGAAGATTGTATTGTGTGCAACGCTATGAAACAACGACGAAAACCAATCGATTTATAAAGTAGTTAGTGAAGCATGAAATAACTTTTTTTTTCTCTGAAATTTTCTTTCATTCCTTCTTCATATTTTATTTAATTTAATGAAAAATATTTTTTCTATTTTTTTGTTTTTGTAAAAAAAAAGAAATATTGAGTAGAATAAAAATTATGACAGGCTTGTCTTAAATATATTACTTTATCAGAACAATAAAAATTTCAAAATGAATTGTAGATTTAATTTATCGTTTCAAATGCTTTATAGAAAATATCAGGCAGGCGGTTTCCATAAAAAATATTGAAAAATTCATTGTTTTTCAACATTTAAAATTGTTGCATTTTTTTTAAATTTATTTTAATAATTTTAACAAAATATAAAACGCAACTAATATGCTTGATTGCAATTAATATTTGACATTTATTAATCTTTTCATACTCTACCTATTATCATTATGTATACAGAAAACAGCTTTTGTAATTACACAAACGAACTACATATTTTTTTTTTGAGTGGTGCTATCCTAAATTAAAAGTTAATACACACTAGTGCGCCATTCGAAAAAGTAGTACGCTGTGTAATTACAAAAAACGGTCTTCTGTATATCATTACAAACTATATGCACAGTGCTATTTAAATCTATTTAATCAAAACTGCAATTAGAAGTAAAAAGCATTTCTGCTGAAAAAATTCTGCAAATTTTCGCTTAGTTTTTTGTTTTATTTAAACTGGAAAATAATTTGAGAAATTATTTTTTCTAACCTGAAAGATGATAAAATTTATATAGAGCCCCTAATATAAGGAGGAAAAACTTAATATTTTTTCTTTCTGTTTAGCTAGCCTTAAAGTTGAACTAAGAATTAAAGTAAAAAAAAAATAATGAAGATTATAAAAAAATCAAGGTTTTTTTTTTGGTCAATGTCCTCTTCTCTCACTTTTTTTTTGTTCTATAGAATTGTAATTTAAAAAAACGTGCAAATTTCTATTAAATATTTCTTTGGCTATTAATTATTTTATCAATTATAATTTATTCTTCAACTCTTTATGAAACTTTCTCATAATACGAGTCCATTCGGGTTTGCTTTTTTTTTTTTTTTTTAGGAAACTCCACTCGAATTTGTTTAACCTTAATTTTTTAATGCAATTTTAAAACCATCCAGTGTATTAATTTTATAGATAGAATAGTCATAATTAGGTCTTTTGGATTATAGAAATATTTTGGATTTAGTCAAATATAGTTGAAATTAGAATCAGAAATTTCGAATTTGTCAATAGTTTTTTTTAGCACAAAACTAGCAGGTTTTTTTTCGCAATTTATAAAATATAAGTAACAGAAAGTATTCATCAAAAAAAATTAAAAATAAAATAACAAATGAAAATTAATAATTTATTAATTAAAATAATTTTTCTAAATTTTTTTTTTTATATTTTTAGACTAAACAGCATAACACTATGATACGTGGAGGAGCTAAAACAGATGCTAAACCTAGGGGTAGAATGACAGCATATGCATTTTTCGTTCAAACTTGTAGAGAAGAACATAAGAAAAAACATCCTGAAGAATCTGTTATATTTGCTGAATTTTCGAGGAAATGCGCAGAAAGATGGAAGGTAATTAAATACCAAATAAGCAATTCATATAGGGCGATATGTAAATACAATTTTACATACTACATACATAATATGTATATACATATGTATGTTTATATATATATATATACTATGAATGTGTAAACGGATTTATATGTATAAATATTTTTATATTATATATACAATAAATTCATAATTACATATACATACATAAACGTATAATTTAAAACAAAATGCAAATTCATAGGAACAAAAAAAACTTAATTTAAATATTTATTTGGAATTTAACCATTCTTTAATTAGAATTAAAAATTGTATACATATATTAAAATTATTTAAAATTCGTAAAAGCAGCAATATGTCACAAAAAGGTCCTGGTCAGTGGAGGAAGAAAAAGAAACAACATGACTGTATTATTGTCATCGCAACAGTTTCTTCGAACAAAATTTAATATATTCAATGAAAATAGCCCTAAACCTCAAAATATTTTAATATTATCATGGACACAAACCGAATTTAAACCAAAAATTTTTGACGTCTTATATATAATTTTTGATTATATGTCAATTATATTTTACATATCTACTCCCGAGAAAGTGTTAAAATATGAATAAAAGTTTAATCACTTCAAGTGCACATTCAATATTTTAACGAATCCAATATGAAATTCGTCTGTAATATTTAAAAACTAGAAACTTCAGTAATTTTGATTAATCATACAAAACAAATTACGTTACATAATAATAGAATTTAATTCAACAACTTACTGAAAAAAATGTACAGTAATGTTTCCACAAAAATTAAATGAAAAATCTTTTCCATTAATTAATTAATAATTTTGTTCTCTTCATTATTTTAATTACAAAATTTTTAATATAAAAATAAATTACACAAAATTAATTTTTAATACTCGTACATTATCAAATATAATGTAAATTAGTTTGTCAAATGTGTGTTTCTTTGTTGTATTTGCATTTCCAGTTGTCCTCATTCGATTTATGAACAATATTTGTTAAGAAAATATTTATGTATCCACCTATTTCACACATACTGCATATAATTTAAAGTTTAGTTTCTCATATATGTAAAATTATACATACATACCTATAAAACTATATTAAAAAAAAAAAAAAGAAATCAACGTTAAATATTCGCGTTCGCGAACTTTAAAACATTCTTTGGCTTGGTCTTTTTTGTTTTTTTTTTGTGTATGCATAAAGTGTATTTATTTTATGTATCAGGTTCATGTTTGCTATATGTTTATATAAAACATGCAAAATATTAAAAGTATATTCAAGAAATATATATGTATGTACACAACTTTTACCTCGAAAAATCTATATTATTTTTCTAGTACCCGGTTTCTAAAAAAAAGAATCCCTTTGTCTCTCCTCCTTCCCTGTTATCAGTTTTTTATCTCTATCCTCTTTCTCTGGTTAAAATTTATCGTTTCAAAAGAAAAACATACTTACTAACTTTTAGATACCAGAAAACAGAAAATTATTAAAATTTTTGTTTTCTCTATAAAGCAATTTTTCCCCAACACCCTGCCATTTAAAGATTAGTTGTATACAATACGTACTTGTTCGTATGAATGTATATACACATATAAAAAATAATTTGATTTTTTTTTTTAACAACAGGGTGTAATAAACTAACCAATAATAAAGAAAAATAAATATTTAATGAATTTATTTGTTTTTCTTTTTTGATTTTTGAAAAAACAAAATTCATGTTTTTCGAAATATGCGAAAAATTTGTTTTGAATGTCTTATCGGTTCCGTCTTGATTTTCTCTAGAAAATTGTATAAAAAAAATTCATTTCTGATCCATATTTCTTTTTAATATATTTTAATTTCATTAAATTCGCAATAATTAAATTAATTGTAATTACTTACGACAATTGTCGTAATATTTTCAATTTAATGATTTTGTTGTATTTTGTTAAAATATACACCCTGTTTATGATTATTTTTGCAAACGATTTTATATTCTTTACTTTAATTTTTTTTAATTTAAAAAAAAAAAAAAGTGTTTTTTTTTTCGATATAACGCAGAAACTTGGGGATTATAGATGGTGTACCGAAGCATATTAAAATTTTCTATATAGGGGGCTTTCAGTTTGAAAACGAAATTTAGAGCAAGGTTTAATGAATACAAAAATAAACAAACGGATAAGAGAAAAATACATTGGTTACATACCACAAAAAAAAAAAAAACAACAAAATTTCGCTTTTGGTGTGAGTGACTAAAGCATTTTAAAATCGAAAAAACAAGTAAAAACAAAAAAAAAAAGATGAACTTAGTTTATTTATACTAGAAGAAGAATAACCACCACCCCTTCACCATATCTCTATGTTCCTTTTATATAATCAACCATCATCCTACATTTTAATTTAGAGGAAGAAATTTTCCAGGGAATTTTTGAAATAACAAAAAAAAAAAAAGAAAAAGTACGTGCATTAGATACAAGGTGGCGTATTAAAGTTCGAAGAGAATTTTAATATTTTTCGATGTCAACTCGATTTTGAATGTTGAATAAATTATTTTGACATATGCAAAATTAAAAGGGTGTAAGGGGATGGTTATAAAAGTTACGTCCATTTCTATTTCTAAATAATTATACTTGAATAATTAAACTTGATCTAAAAATGAAAAAAAAACACACAAAATAAATTTTTAAAATTTTTTTTTAATTAATTTTTAATTTTTTGTATTTTCTTTGTCTAGAAAAAAAAAATTTTATTTTTTAGTTTCTTGTTAAACATTTTTTTTTTTTTTGCAACTTTCCTTTAAAACTTTTCTTTAACAAACAAATTTTTAGATATCAGTAATTTTATGAAAATTATACAGTTGTGTTATTTTTTAAAATAATTTTAATATTTGAAAAGCGTTTTTACTTAAATAAACGCAAAGTTTTGATTATTTGATGTTAAAATTTATTTTTAAATTGACATTATTTGTAAATTGCTACCATCCTCCTTAAAATATCCAGTCAATTTTTCAATTTATAATAATTGTCAAAAAAACATAATATAAAAATTTGTAAAATCCTAGATATTATTACAAGTAGCATTAAGATATGTATCATGATTTCATAAATGTGAAGTTTCTATATGGCTGATTTTAATTATTAATTTTAAATCTATCAAAAACCCTGGCCATTTTTAAATAACTAAAAAATTCAAATTTGTGTATATACAATAAATTCATGGTAATTCTAGGGTGTAATTCTTTTCGATTAAAATAATTAAAGTTGAATTAAATAAAAATTTCATATTATCTTATTTTCCAATTTAATATCAAATTTACGATTAAATTTTTATAATTGGATTATTTATTAATAATTTTGCTAAACATGTTCTTGAAAAAAGAATTAAATAATAAAATAATTCTAAAATATAAACGCTTATTTTATAGTATTGTCAAAAAAAACTCGCTTTACAGATTTCAAATATTTGGGCGTTTTCATTTATTTAATTTTAGAATAGTTCTAGCTTCTAGTACTTTCGAAAATCACTCTACATACACGGAAAATATAGATCATTCGGAATATACTGGCTGTAAAGAAATGCGTTCGGAAATTCAATCTGTAATAAAGAAATGTAGCGCAGAAAATTCAAACAAAAAATTTAAATTTCAAAATACAGCTTCAGATATTGAAGGGTTATTACATTAAGTTTTCTTTAAATCTTTAAAATCTTCTTAAAATTACCTTGTTTTGTAGCGAATTCAGAACGACTGATTATTTATAAGTTTCAGAACTTGTAGACTGCGTAAACAAAAAAAAAAATAGCTAAAGTTTTTACATATTGTTTAACGCTTAGAACTTTTAGTTCTAATGTAGAACTTTTAGCGCAGTGTGCATGAACGAAAACCTCCTTATTGTATTAAATTTTAAATAGGAATTAAATTAGTCAAAAATTTCGGAAGTTGATTTTTTATTCTTTTCTCAAGCAATTTTTGAACAAAATAATTATAATTGCATAATAAATGACCTTCCATAAAAAAAAATTAAATAACTAATTCCAACACGTTATTAAAAAGTTAAAAAAAAAAAGAAAGTATTGAAAAAAAATTTTGATTGTGCACTTCAAATGATTATTACGAGTATTGTTAAAAAATAAAATGGAAAGAATTGAAACACAGAAAAGAAAGAATCTGTTCTATGATAACAAACAGAATTTTTTCCCTATTTTTATTATTTTTACTTTTCTTTCTACTTCTTTTTTTTTTTTTTGTCCTGTTTCTCTGTGTTCAATTACTATTTCTGGCTTTTTGCTATGTTTGCCAACGAAGCAGAACAAAGCGAAGGGTATCGAATGAACGCAAGAAAAAAAAGAAAAAAAAAAAGAAAAAATTAAATTACTTATATTTATATAAAGTCTGACGTATATTTAACCTCCCTTATATACTTTAGAAGAACATATTTCTTCTTCTTATTTTTGTTTTTTTACTAAAATTTATATTTACATGGTCATACGTGTATCTTTTATACATATACTTATATTCAATTTGACTCCAGCTACATTTTAAAAAAATATAAACATCACAAAACATACACAAATATAAATTTTCACTTACACACACACACACAAACACATTTACAAAGGTCGCAGAAGGGTGAGACGCGCACTCTGTTAGCATTCTCTAAAATATAAGTTTGTATGAATGTAGAAATATATATATGTATTTGAACAAAAAAATAGTCCTTATATTTTCTTTGCTTCCTTTTTTTTAAAGTTACTTGTATGCGTCAATAAAAACTGGTTATATATGTATGTACGTATGCATAATTACAAATTAGTATGGGTATGACTTAGCATTTGCGTATTTTAATAGCACTTTTATATTATTCATTCAATATCGCTAACACTATAATATGTCTGCTGCCTTTTCAGTTCTGAGTTCTGGTACTACTAGTGCTAAAAGAAAAAGGAACAAAAAAAAAAAAAGGAATATTTTTCCTTTATTTTGCTTTTGACATAGTTTTTTACCCTTTTCATATGTATTTTAAAGTGTGAGATTGTATTAAGGAATATATATGTATGTATTATGGTGTTCATATGCGTCTGTATGTGAATGAGTTTTATCTTGCTATATAAATTTTAAAATTTTTCAAAATTTTTATATAAAAAAAATTTTTTTTTTTTTTATATAATGTACTTAAATATAAATAGATACCATACATAAAAAACATTCATCACACCGGATGTTCTCTAAGATTGTTTTTTTTTTCTTTAGATTAATTTTTTAAATATTTCATATTCCTAGAAATTTAATCAGAGATGCCAGGCCCTTAATGAAATTTAACGGGCTCATTATAAATCTTATGGTTGTCATTAAAACGAAGAAGAAGAAAGAAGGAAAAAAAGAAAAATAAAATCTTCCGATTTATTTAAATTTTCAAATGAGAAAAATAATAAAATTTTTTATACATTCTACATGTCCCTTATTCTTTAATTTTCTATTTCTTTATTTTAATTTCAATTCTTCTTAAGTGAGCTTTTTTTTGTTTACCCTTTAAGATCTTTTAGAAAAAAAAATATGGATTTTAATTTTCTCGGTCATCAGAGTTTATTATTGAAAAATTCTCTCTATCTATGTTTGTAATGTAAATGCAACTATAGGATTAATTATGAATTTTTTCTAAAAATTCCTGGATCGAATTTGAATATGATATTTTTGGCAATTAGGACAATTTTTGTAATTACGAACTACTTTTTTGAGGGATACTTGTGAGTATTAAAAGTTTTTTTAATTCAAAACAGCACCACTCAAAACAAACTAGTTCTATTATGTAATTAGAAAAATTGTCTTCTGCATTATAAATTATATACACAATAAAAATATTCATCTTTTAAAAAGAAGAGTCAAACATCAGGAGTCATGAATGCTGATTAATTTCTAAGATTTTGATTTTGAACAACCTTAAAATTTAATTGGATATTTTAATGCTCCGACAAAATTAAAATTGAATTTTGTACTTGAATCACTTAAATTAATATTTTTCTACATTCCAAATAAATATTATGGTATTATTTTTTAAACATGTTTTTTTTTGTGTGTGTGTGTAACAAAATGGAACCGTTAAAAAAGGAAATTATTTTTTTATCAATTACATAACTTGGCATTTGGCAATTCATTCTTTTGTTTTTTTTTTTTTTTGCTTTTTTTTTCTTTTATTATATTTCATTTCAGACGATGTTGGATAAAGAAAAGAAGAGGTTCCATGAAATGGCTGAAAAGGATAAACAAAGATATGATCTAGAAATGCAAAATTATGTCCCACCTAAAGGTGTAGTAATTGGTAGAGGCAAAAAACGAAAACAAATTAAAGATCCAAATGCGCCAAAAAGATCATTGTGAGTTCGTAGATAAAAGTTTTTTAAAAACTTTTTTGATAAAATTTTCTATTGTGAATTTTTTTATTTATTTATTTTATTTTTTTATTAATTCTTATATAAATACGCTTTAATTTGAATTTAAAAAGAAATTCATTATTTAGTAAAACAAAACAAAACTCAATAAATTTATTGGTTTATTTATTAAACAATATTTCGTTCCATAAAGTTTTTGAACGTCACTGCTTTCTATAAAACATTTTAGTTTATTTAGAATTCAAAGCTTTAATAAAGCATTTATAAAATTTAAATTTTTTAATGTAAGTACCTATTGTATTAACGAATCAATATTTAGTAAAAAAATCCTTGATTCAAGCGTTGCTGGTAACACATTTCTCTTATATTTTAAGCACATTTCCACGACATTTCCAATATTCAAAATCAATTGTGTCCTAATAACGCTTACAATAAAACTTGAAATGCAATTAAATTCTTATTTCTATTTTGAGTAAATCAAAAAATAAAATATTTTTTGTCATTCACGCAATAATAACATTGTGTGAACAATTTCTTTTTGTTCTCCGTAATTTGCATTCTTTTGACATTTCTTTCTCAAAACGTCAAAAATAATTTATTTCAAATTTTCTTAATCGATTCAAAATTTTTCTAAAGCGATTCGCTTTTAAAAGAAATTCTTGTTTTTACCAACATTTTAATTGTATCTTAAAAAAATGAATTTTCCAATAATTTCGATTGCTCTGCAAATAATAAATACCTCAATTATTTTTATGTTTTTTTTTTTTTGAAATTTTAAAATTCAACAAGAGTTACCATTAAATTTTTTACTATAATTTTTAGATCGGCATTCTTTTGGTTCTGCAATGATGAACGTAATAAAGTTAAAGCACTTAATCCTGAATATGGCGTTGGTGATATTGCTAAAGAACTTGGCCGTAAATGGTCAGATGTAGATCCAGAAGTTAAACAAAAATATGAGTTAATGGCAGAAAAAGATAAAGCTAGATATGAAAAAGTAAGTATATTAATTCTGATATTACGAAAGTATTAAACTAAAAAAATTTTTATACAAAATTATAATTTGCTTACTTTTATAAAATTTCCATATTAAACTTTTTTGTTTTTTTTTTTTTTTCTTTTTTTAAATTTTAGGAAATGACAGAATATAAAACAAGTGGGAAAATTCCAATGTCCGCGCCATCAATGCAAGCCCAACTTCAAGCACAAGCGGCGGCGCAATTAGCGGCTGCTCAAACGGCAGCAGCTGTACAACAAAACGCTGGTGGAGGAGGCGATGATGAAGACGATGACGATGGTGATGATGAAGAACATCAGTAGATTTATAAGTGTAATGCGTAATAATTAAAAGAGAAATCTTACAGAATTAAAAAAAAAAAAAAAGAAAAAAAAAACTAATATAAATATAAATATTATTTTGTAAAATAATACTTTTTTATAGTTATAAGTATCTAAGTTAAAAAAAAAAAACAACAACAAAAAACAACAAAAAAAAAAACAAAAAAAAAATCAAATATATATTTTAATTTTACTATAGAGACATCCTTCCTCCCGAAATATAAAATCTTATATATATATATAATATTATATTATACAATTATATTTTCACGTTGATTTTTTACATTATATATATATAATTATATATGTACATTTGTAGTAAATTATGTACTACACTTTATGTATATATTCTCATATATGCGTAGCATATGTATGTATATATAATATTATGTATATATATACATAAATACATATATTACATATGAAAAAATATACATGTTTATATGAGTATGTGCATAATTTAATTTGATATAATAAGTATGTAACAAGTTTTACGCAATTATAATTTTATTTTTTTCATTCACTCAAAAAAAAAAATTTTTTAAGAAATATGAATTCCATATAACAATAATAAATGATTTGTTTTATGTATAACAATTAAGAAACAAAATTGTCAGAAGCAGTTTAATTTTTTTTTTTACATTTTAATTTACATTTTTTTTTTTTTTTTGATGGTCTGTACACGCAGATTTTAATTTTGTACTCGTCTGAAAAAATAAAAAAAAAAAACTTTTGAACTTAGAACGATCATTTACTTAGGTACATTTTGTTTCAAAATGCTAGATAAGTTAAAATGAAATAAACATTTTTGTAATGAATATATTTTTTTTTGTTTTGACAAATAAAAATTTCTTTAGTTACTATATAAAAGATTTCCAATAAAATTAAATTTTTTTTTTCTTTATTTTTGGTATCTGAATTCCTCTATTTAATAAATTCTGTTAATTCTGAATATTTAATAAATTTTTTTTTATATTTATAAATCTTTCCCATTTAGTAGTACATTTAAAAAAAAAAAAATTCTCAGTCGAGTAAAACATTACTAATTGCTGCACAGCCTTAAGTAGTATAACTAAAAAAAAAATAAATAAAAAAATCTATATAAAGAAAAACAAAAAAAAAATAATTATAACAAAAATGAATAATTACAAAAAGTCAAAAAAATCATAGTAAATGTGAAAAGAAAAAAAAATTAAAAAAAAAAAAAAGAAAGTAAAATAAATTTAGTGTTATTGTAAATAATTTTTAAATAATTATTAAAAAAAAAAAAACAAAAAATAAGTAAATTTAAAGAAAATAATTTTGAAACTAAATTTTAATAAAAATAAACACAAAAGCAAAAAAACTAAAGAATAAAAAATGCATAATTATAAATTTTTAACAAATACAAAAAAAAAAAGAAATAAAAATAAAAAGAAAACTATGAAATTTTTGTAAATATAATTCTAAATAACACAAAATATGATTCGACGAACTAAAGGAAAAGCGAACAATTCACACATGATATAATAAATAATTATTAAAAAAAAAATACGTATATATATATATATATATATGAAGAAACGTAACGTAAAACATTTCATTATTTTCTTAAATTTTTTTCTACAATTTTTTTTTTTTCAAATTCAATAAAATTTAATACGATAAATAATCACTAATCAGTTTCGAATTTGGAAATCATTTTTTTTTTCTTTGCTAAAATTTAGAAATGATTGTATTTTTTTTTTTAGTTTTTTAATGACCTAAGAAAACAACAAGTTTTGGAAATAATTATTTATTTATTATTTAAAAAATTTAACAACACACAATTAGGATGCATTAATCATCTCTTTTTAAGTAACAACATATCTTATATAACAAAAACATAATTTTGTAAAATTTACTTAATTTTTCGTCAATTAAAAAATATATTTCTTCATGATTGCATTTTATTATTGAACAAGCGTATAAAACTTCATAATGTTACTTCAATATTTGTTTTTCTTTTGTTCGTTTTATACCATTTCGATCTTATCAAAATTTAAGTTTGTTTAGGTTTTACTTACGTTTAAATTTCGGATGAAGTATTTATTTTAGACCAAAATTAAAGTATGTAAAAACATTTTAAAATAAAAATTTAAATTATCTTTTTTAGTACATACAAATAAAATTTTTTGGGATGTTGTTTATCCAATAGTAGTAGACATAAAGTTTACAAATGAATAATCATGAATTTATCATTAAAAACTAAAACAAGATTTAATTTCTTTAAAAAATTCATTTATTTTTTTAATAATATCTATTAAAATCAGAAAAATTCAAAATTGAACTTCTTTTTTTTACAAATTTGATTTAAAAAAAAATAATTTTTAAATATTTTTGTCTTGATTTAAAAACGTATAATGAAATTTATAACTAAATTTTTAGTTTCGAATAAAAATAAATATGAATATTTATTATTTTTAAAAGTATTATAGATCAAAATATATTATGACGTATAAATTATTCTATCATAATTCACAATGTGTTATACATGTGATGCATGGGACGCATATTATATTGGCGTAAAATATAATATATAAGTTTATTTTATAATTTTTTCAAATAATAATTATCCAATGTTTTCATAAAAGAATTATATATATTGATTAATAATAATTCTTTTTTTTTTTTAGATGAATTAATGGTTCCATTAGAATATTCTTCATTTATAAAAAGAAATCAAAATGTATGAATTAGTCACAGAAACGATAATATTAATAATATTTATAAAACAACAAAAAACATTTCATTGTTTTTTCAGATCAGAAATAAACCCAAAATATATATGTTTGTATATAAATATATATATATGTGCACATATATATTTTTTTTTATTTCAATAATAATATAAAAATTTTCAACAAAATTAACTTCATTTAATTTTGTTATAAAAACTAAATTATTAAAAATACATATTTATATTTCCCGAAAAAAGCATTTTTGAAAATATGAACGTTCTAGTTATTGGTATAAAAACATAAGGTTTTTAAAAATAAATTTGTTAGAAATTCTTGATTGAAAATAGAGGCTATTTCATAAATAAAAAATTTTATAGAAACCAAAACGTTCAATTTTGCTCAAAAACCTGCTATTAAAAATATTTAAAACAAATAGAAAATTAACAAACAAAAATAAAATTAGAAAACTCAAATATAGGATTGAATTTTGGGACAAATATACCATTATTAAAGTTGACTATTCGTTTTTTAAAAAACGAAATTATTTTTTTTTTTCTATTAATGATTTTAGTTGACACATTTTATATGTAATCATAAATTGTTTGAAAGCAAATCTGAGTTTAAATTTCTTTTCTGAAATTTTGTTCTTTTATTTGATCATAAATTGATTTTTCGCATTTTCATTATTTTGCCAAACTCCAAAAAAAAAAAAAAATTATTCGAAATTTCAAATTGCACAAAAAGTGCTCCCCTTATATCCTATTATGTCATTTAATAAAGTGTTTTCCAAGTTGTTTGGAATGAAGTTTTTTTTTTTTAAGGAAGAATTTCTTTTTCACTCTCTGAAGACAACTACGATAATTTTTTTCTTTAATTAATTACGGATTTTACAATTAATACAAAAAATAATGTTATGTGTTTTTTATAAATATGAACTAATTTTTTTTTTTTTAGGAAATTAACGTTGATATTATTGTTTAATCACGTTGACTGGCATACATAGTTTTAACGACTTAAATGAAAAAATGCAATTATAATAGAAATAGCAATCTCAAAACCTTGTTCAATTCGAAATCAAAGTTGTTAAATTAAGGAATTAAATATATACTTAAATAGTTTAATCTCTTAACAAAATGACAATATATGTTTTTTTTTTTTCACAATTTAAAAAATATTTTGTGCCCTTATAAAATTTGACAAAAAAAAAAAAATTTATTTTTAATTTTTTTTTATTTAGTAGACGTATTTTTGATGTTAAAACAGTATTTTAATATTTTTTATCTTTTTTTTTTTTTTATTCAAATTAAACTTACAAAGTAATATAACTTTAGTTTAATAATCAAAACAAATAATAAAAAAAAAATTAATGTTAAAAAAAAAAAGTCAGAATTAAAAATAAATGAATTCCTGATTCAAGGATCTGTTTTTATTTTCGTGTCAATAAAAAAAAAAAATATATAAATAATAAAATATTAATATTAGTTATTGAGATAAAGAAAAACGTGACAAAATTGATTGTTTGCGTGCGAAATTTGATGATGATTGGGAGGGAGTGCACCTCAAGTAATTAATTTTTATTTAATAAGTTTTTTTTTTTAGTTATCTTGTAATTTTTTTTTTTAATTATACATAAGTGAAGTTATTTTTAGTTTAATAGAAATTAATAAAAATAATTAAAAATAAATATGCTAAAAATAGTTACAAGATAAAAAATAAATAACTACAACAATAAAAGTTTTCAAAAAAAAAAAAACTATATATACAAAAAAAAATTTAAAAATAAAAAAACAAACTTCAATGAGATTTTAGGCAGATTTCTACTCTTGTAACATGTTAAGTAAAATTAAAAACAAAGAAAAAAGTTATTTTAAAAAAGGGAATACCTGTCTTTAGGATTTATTAAAGAAAAAAAAATTGAGAAAATTAAAAAATAAAAAAAAAATTATTCTTAATTATTTTTGTTTTACTCTTTTTTTAGCGATTGCCAATAACAGGATAAATAATTATATATGTAAGTTTACTGTTATTTTACTATAAATTTCGAATAATTTTTCATTTCCAATTTTCGAGCTTGAGTATAATGAATATGTATTCTTAGCCGGCACAACAGCTAGTGAATAAAAATTTTTGTTCTTAAAGTTAACATAAGATTGAATTCATGTTTGAAGTCCCAGAAGACCACTGATTTACACCGTTTCATATTAATTTCACAGGTTAAAGAAATGCGTATGAAGGGGGGTTACACACAGGGATATTACTTTTTGTCAAAGTCAAAAAAATGTTATTTTGCCAAATTGATGTTTATTGTTTACCCTTATTTCCATACCCTTTGTCCCTCTTTCCAACCAATTAAATTTGTACACTAAGTCCTCGAGATATGACTTTTTTGGTTTCAGAAATTTATATCGTAACTCGAATTGTCGGTTTGAAGAGGAAAAAAAACGTATGAAAACAAAAAGTGAATTAGACAAACAATTTTATAATATAATTGGCCTTTTCTTTAAAAAAAAGGTAACAAAAGTTTAAAGAAAAAAACAAAATATAATAACGAAACGAAAAAAATTTCAATGTTGTAACAAAAATAAATAAAATAAAATATGATTAAGTTGACATATATCACCTCAATTCCTATTTATGACTACTGACTAGAAAGAGTTTATTATTGATAAGTTCATCATTAAAATCTGTATAGATTTTTATTAAAAAAGTGGTAAAATCTGTCAAAAACAAAAAAAAAAATTTTAAGTTTTTATGTCGCAAGCCGAATAAAAATGGTCCGAATTTATATCATGTCGTAACTCGAAATGTCGTATTAGAAAATGTCATTTCTCAAGGACTTAGAATACTTGTTCCTGCCTTTGGGCGCAGATCAAACTTAGATCTATACCGAATCTTAAAATGCTACATTCAATTAACGTTCGATAAATTTTTATTAGAAAAAAGTACGTAGCTTGAATCGTAATAATCGTAGCTTGCTTAAAGAACTCTAAGTTCTAAAGCATTTTTAAAATTTTTTTTGAAAAGTTGCGAAAATATTTTAATTTTGAAAAAAATCAATAGAAAAGTATAAGATATTAAAGATTTGCAAATGTAAACTAGTTATTTCGTGTAGATCTGTAACGATAATAAGAAAATTAATTAAGATTTAAGTGCAAGCTTTAAAAGCATATCCGAATTCTCTAAAATCAATTTTATTTTCTACACATAAATTGAATTAAATTCCAGTTAAAATCAAGTTAACGTCAAGTTTTCAGTTTCGCAGGCGCTTTTTGAGTTGAAGTATCCTTTGCATATCCTTATATGTACATATGTAAATCCATTTATATACATATAAAATTCATATGTAAAAAATAAGGTTTATTTTAAATAAAGGAACAATTTTAATTTTAAAATAAGAGTAGTAAATTTCTATATGGAATAATAAAAAATCTGAAATGAAAATAATAAGTTTCAATATCCGAAGAGCAAACTACTAAAAAATGTCATACTGAAATTTACTATTCTCGAGATGAAGTTTACTGAATATCAGTGTGGAAAGAGCCAATAGGCTAGTTTACTGTATTAACGGCTGCAAAGATTTAATAATGAGACTGAAAATTATGATAAACGTAATATGTACATAGTAAGTTGTTCTTTCAATTTAAAATTCATATTCGTGTTTGTACTTTTTACAATTTACAAATTGCAAATTAAATTTTGAAACATCGATTAATTATTCAACGCGCCTCGTACTACAAACTACACATATAAACATTAAAATAGATTTTTTGAAAAATTATTTCTATATTGTTGAGACAAAAAATAAAAATAGAATAGCTATTCAATGTCCAAGTCTTTGAATTGTATGAGTTACATACATACATATATTATAAGTTTTAATAAAATAAAGTTTCAAATATTATATTTATATATTTGCATATAAAAAATAAATATGTTTGCCTATAATCAAAATATGACATTTAATAATTCCTTTCGTTTATCAAGTCCGTCCAAATCACCTTCATTGTCACATGATTCATATGGCTTGAAACAACTTTCTTCATTCCGGATTTCTGCATCAAAATAATCATCGTTTTTTAAACAAAGATTGTGAACTATACAAATTGATTTCAAAATGTTTTTAAAATGAGCAGGATTCTCAAAATTAAGATTCCTTAAAATTTGAAATCTGTTAAATATTAATTTAAACATTTTTGCAGAAATATTTATATAGTCATCAAGAATTGAATTAAATTTCTCCTCTTTTTCATCATTAATTTTCCTAAATGGAGTTATAAGTTTTTCGCTTATCGGTAATCCTGATGATCCAACAAAATAGCTATTATCGGGAATAAAATCATTTGCAGAATCATTCAATAAAATTCTACCGATTTTAGTGTCAGGAAAGCTATACGAATCAGCATATTCAACTTCCACATTTGAGATAACTTGATTCGCATCACAAGTAATTTGTATAACAAATGATTTATTTTTATTACTATCTTCTTTAAAATTTACATCAATTATTTTGCTATTAATTACTCCAAAAACATTTAATTTTTTATGCTCCTCAACATTGCAAAATTCTTTTAAAACTTTCATTTTCTTATCCAGAGTTTCAGGCCATTTCACGTATGTGCTAAAATCTTTTACTATATTATTATAAAAATAAGGAGCTACTTTATGAAAAAAAATTTCATCTACTTCATATTTCTTCAAAATGTTAATTAAATTTTCCTTTTTTTGTAAAAGTAGCGTAAGACCACAATTAAATATCGAACGTTGAAGGACATGCATGTTTTCATATTTTATGTTATTTGGTATATACTGTTTAAGTTCGCTAAATAATTTCTGAAATATTTTAATTTATAATAATTTTACAAACTTATACATATTAAAATTTACCTCATATGTGTCTTTCGACATGATTGGACCGTGTTGAAGACCTTCATTCACAAAGTTTAAAGGTAGTTTTAACATTTTGTTTAAAGTAAATATTACTTTTGTTTTTAGTCGTTTCTTTAAAATACGCTTTCGTTGAATTTTTTTGTGGATTTGATTAATAAATAATTCAAGTCCATCTTCATCGCAACAAGTTTCAGTGGATAAGATATTCGGAACTCTTTTTGGATGAAATTTTTTGTCGATTCCCAAATCCTTCACCAATATTGTTGCAATATTTGCTAAAAATGCCTTCTCCTCCCTATTCATTGTTTGTACTTTGAACATTTTTGAATATCTTGAAACTTTCCGGTGTTGCAGTCTGCAACGTTTATTAATTAATTTATTAATTAAAAAAAATACATAATATTATAGATAATACCCATAAGCTAAATTAAGCTAAAAGCTGAAGCATCTTAAAACATTTATGCACCTACTTACCTTGTTTAACTATTAAAAATTTTTCTTTATTTATTAAACATTCTATTTTTATTAATTTTAAATAATTAATTATATTCCACTCAAACGCAATATATAAATTTTAAATAATCAATTATTTATTTTTCTTTTGCAAAAAACCGAAATTGCAAGAAGATTAAAATTAATATAAAAACAAAGAATAGAATTTACTACTTTTGAGTTTGACAATCCATCTATCGTCATGCCGCAGAAACATCTAAATTATTAAAAACAGGAACCTATCAGTTATTTATTTTTTTTTTGGAACATTTTCAATTTTTTTTTTTAATTTTGGACACCTTGGCTCTTGAACTTTTTTTTAATTAAATCGAAGCACAAGATGTTAAGGTTAATTTAAAAACCATTTAAATACTCAAAAATTGCACTAGTGTGAAATAAACAAAAGAAAAATATTTTTTGAAATTTAACTGGGCTGTTATGTTAAACCCTAAGTCTAAGCAGTATAATGTTAATATTAAAAGGGCAATTGTTTCTTCATGTTCATGTAACTATGTACATACATATGTATGTGTATAATATATGAAAAATAACACAAATATTTGAACATTCATTTCTCGTAGAAAATTTGAAAATTAAAAACTTTCAGCGTAAAAAGATGAAAAGTGAAGAATTAGAATGCAACTTGGTTTTTTCTGGAAGGCAACTTTCCTTTTCCTTAATTTTCCTTTTAAAATTCAAATTATCCAAAGCGGAAAGAAAAATTCATATTTAAAGTCTTCCAAATGTAAATATACGTACATATACCTTAAATTTATAACAGAATCTAGCAATACTGACATGCATACTTAATCTTTTATTATTTTTTCTTTACTTGACTCAACAATGCTAAAATGATGTTGCTTTTAGTAATACGCATACATACATATGTATGTATGATACTTACTTACATGAATATATACTTATATTGCATTTGCATAAAATCTGTGAAAACGTGAATATACATATACGAATACCCCCTGGTCCAGATGCCGGTCGGTCATTTACATATGCATGAATATTTATGTATACTCCATGTACTTACTACCTGTGTACATTTAAAAAAAAAATCACACAAGCGAAGTCTAATTAAAATTCTAAATTTTTTAGCACATTTTGTTATTTTTAGAATATTTAAAAAGTAATAATCTTCTTTTGTACCCGTTATTCTATTTCTTTTCTCAAAAAAATATTATTTTCTTTTAAACCATTAGTATTTTTAATTAACACCTTTTTAAATATGTACTTGTATTTATAGAAAACCTCTTTTTTAAATGTTTTAAATTTCTATTTTTAAGTTTATAACACCAAAATCTAGTGAAATAATTGAATTATTTAAACATTTATCTTGTTAGGGCGCGCGATCTAAGAGAAGGCAATTTTAACGCTATAACGTAATTTATTTCCTAATTAGTATGCAATTCGTATGTATGTATGTTATCATGTGCTTCTATCAGGTAAGTCATAAAACATTTCGAGTCTTCTTGTGTTCATTTTCACAATTTTTCTTTTACCTATTTTTTAAAAATATTTTGTGTTCTAGTACACCTATGTTGTACCTGTACTCAACTGATTAGAAAAAATTCTAATAATGATCAAAAAAATATCCCATAATATGCAAGCTTTGAAATTTATTAATTTTGGGTAATAAATATCTTTTCCAACTAATATAATTTGTTTATAGCCTTTTAGTAAAGTATTAATATTGACTTGTTTATAGGCATTAGTAAGAATTCTAATTACGTTCATGTATCTTTCTTTCTGGTGGCAATATGATTAAAACTAAATATGTAATATTATTATTTTTAAGTTTAATATTAAATTTTAAAATACAAAATTTACACGGACATAGAGCTGGGAAAACCTTAATTTTTCCGCCAACATCACCAACAAGAGTTCAAGTATTTTATTAAAAATATTTATTTATATAAATTAAAAATCAATTTAAATTATTTATTTTTATATTAAAATGTATTTTTTTTTTCTATAGTTTATTTATGGTATAGGTATACCATTAGAGGATCTTGACGTAGAGAGTTTAACAACTGGTTATGTTTTAAAAGCAGAATATTTTCTTCCAACGAAAGCAGAAGAATTTCGTCCAACTCAATTAACACCTCAGGATATTGGTTATTATCCAAACTCTAAACGAGATCTTTCAAAATACAATGATGCAAAAGGTGCAAAATAATTTTTTAATTAGCAAAAATCTAGAATATTAAAGACACTTATTTATGAACAACAACTTATACATACATATGTTATTCGTGTGTATTATTCATTTATGCTCAGAGCATATACTTACATACTGACAGCATAATACATACTTCTATTTTGAAGTTTTCCCTTTATTTGAATGTGTGATTGATGCTGTTGTAATGTGATAATACAATTATTAATTTAAAAAAAAAAATAATTATATGCATGCCCAACTATTTCGCCATTGCTAAAACTTCTTCTTGTAATTACAAGTCCGTACAACAATAGGATTGCTTTAAAGTTTAATTTTTTTTTTATGCAAATCGTTTACAACATGTACATACATACATATATATGTATGTTTATATAACTAGAAATAACTACTATTTTAAAAATCGTAAATGTGAATGTGCAATGTGCATATGTATGTATTACGCTTAATAGCATTAACTTTGATTTGAAACCATTTTAACAAGCAAAGTTTTTAAGTCTCTTAAAAATATGTAAGCTTGGATAATAGCAACTTGTAAAATGTCCGTATTTATTAGAGACTGTGGAAGAATAATTTATTAAATTAAATTTCTAGTACACATAATTTTTGCAGATTAACATAAAAATGTTTTTTTTTTTTTTTTAGACAAAGAAAATATTGACCCTATTGGATTATTTAATATTAAACAGAGTCGAAGGAAAGCAAAATTGTTATCAAAATATCGTTGGGCCGTATACGAAAGCTTCGAAGTTCTACTGAAAAGGTAAATTTAATCTACTTTTTATATACATACATACATACTTTATTTTTTACAAACGTTGAAGTGCATTCTAACGTTGTGCAATTCGACATTTGAAACATAACATGCATAAATAATACATAGATGTCACTGGATGAAATAAGAAATTCAGTGCTGCGATTATGTGCTAATATTCAGCAAATTAATTGTTGATTTCAGAACATACTGAAATATTTAATTTTTGAGTTACCTTATTTTTTATCTGGAATTATCTATAATGTAGACTGTGTATGTATAGTATAGGTATACATATATGCATAATATGTAATTTGTTTTTATTTTGCTCCCACTTTTAAAAAAATAGCACTTATTTACTATACAAGTTAATTTTTTTATTCAAGTTAGAAATTTTGCATAAACTTGCAAAAAAAAAATTTAGTTTCAATCCAGGCTTTTTGAAAAAACAATGCGAAAATATTTTTCTTGTTTTTTGTACTTAAATTCTCTTTTTTTCATTATTTTTGCAAAACAAATTTCAAAACGTTTTCTAATTTATCCACCATCATTACCAACTCGTTATCAGGTAAAAATCCAATAAGTTGGTACACATGTACATACATGCATATACGTACATAATATCTATTACTACATAAAATTTATTTCTAATTAGTTTATAGCTGGATTTGGAATTCCAGCTGAATTACCCGATTATCAATCAGTTATCACAGGTTACGTTTTGAAAGCTATGTATTATTTACCAAGCAATGCATCTCAATTATATATATTAAACCCTTCTGGAAATAAAATACGTGGTAATTATCCTGTCGAATCTTCTACTAATGCAATTAATTATTTTGGACGAAAAACTCGAGAAATACAAGATACTAATAATTTTCCAGAATTAAGATGGACTTTATATACTGTTTTGAAACGTTTTTTAGAAAGGTACATACATATACAATATGAACTGGACACAATTTTATGAAAATCAATTAGGTTAAACTTAAAATATTTTAAAGAAAAAATAATTGTTTTTTCCTTGTTTCAGGGCTGGATATGATGGAGAAGCTTGCTTATTACGTAGTATATGTGAAATAGCAGCTGTTCCATTTCATCCGAATAGCGGTTTGATGGCCGAACTAATTCACATATTAATGAGGTATTGAAATTTGAATTTTTGTTTGCACAATTGCATCATTATGATTAACATTGCTTACTGATGACTTAAAATGCACACTTGTTTCATTTTAGTCGCATATTGTTCTTTTGATGTTTTAAAAAAAAAATTAATCACCTAGCATTAGTTACCCAAATTATCTATTTAAACTTAGACTTACTTATTATTTAGTAAATTAATGATTTTTTGTTTTGTTTCATTTTTTATTAGTCCATCAACATCTTGTGACGTGCTTGGTAAACACAAACAAAATCAATTTTATAAGGCTGAGATACTGGGTAAACAAGGCGAACCATGTGAAATTATTTTCAAGGAATGCCAAGCATCTGTTTTAGAAAAATTCACTTTTATTAGAGATTTGTTTAATATGTTTGGTTAAAGGTACACATGTTTTGATTTTTTTTTTCGAAATAAAACTTAATACTTAAATTTAATAAGTACAAACATAGTTAAAATATTTTTATGGGAACCTGTGCTCAAATTTCTTATTTTTCAAAAATAAATTTAATTATCATAATATTCTAACTTTAAAATACCAAACAAGTAATGGATACAAATTTGATAAGGGACGTATGAAGTTAAATGATCTTTATTCATATAAGGAACGGAATGTTTCTCTGAAATTCCGAATTTTCCTACGGAAATCAAGATATTTTAACTAATCAACTGGTTTGTAGGAAAGAAGAGATGGTGAGAAATGTAATGAAAAATCGTATAAATGCGTGAAGAAAGCTTAACATTATCATTTGAAAATATCACCACTTCAAAAACTCCTGCAATGAGATTGTGCAGAAAACTTAATTTTTTCAATACAGAGATGGAGTTTTCTATAGAAAAGGCTTAAGCAAGGCTTCAGTAATCTGTTTTGAATATCATATGTATACCTACCTAGTAAATTTTGAAAAAATTTGTTACTGTAAAATACATGTCTAGCTATAATGTATAAAAATTATATTTTACTGAAAATTACTGTCTTATTGTACAAATTTCAAAGTTTTATCCCAAAAAAAATTAATCGATTTAAGTATTCTAGAATGGATATTCAAATATACATGTCTAAAAATTCAAGGGTACGCACATTTTTTAGTACCAGTACTTTAGATGTATTACACAATTACTTTGTTTCCTTTTGAAAGGAATTTTAGAGAGGCTGGAAATATTAAACAAAAACTAATAAATTTACAAAAATAAAAAAAAATTTAATGATTAAGTAACATAATAATATGTAAGTGTAAAAGAATTCGAGATAAGTATAATGTATGTATATAATATAATATATGATTTGGAGTATTTATATTGTTTTTAGTATCAGTAGTTTTAGTATTAAGTAGTTTTTAATGAAATTAATGGTAATAATAATTATGCATAGGCTTATTGGTAGTAATTATGATAGTTAATATTACTAAGCGTATTTGTTGTTTATGCATGTCCTTTTCTTTTCATTCAAAATACAGCGCGAACTAGTCCTTTTCTTCGTTTATGATGAGCTGTCGTTTTACATCTCTTAATGGATTTTAATACTAAAAGAATATATGAATTTTTTTTTTTTAATCTATAACTATAATATAGAAAATGTTAAATTTGGGTTATTTCATTACTAAAAATTACGATATTGTTGTATGTTATATAATATGATTATTATTTCTAAATGCGTCTTCTTTCATACTAGTATCTGATTATTAAATAATACAAAAATATAATTATTAGATACTTTAACTAAGCAAATTTGGGATCACACAGAGAAACATTTATAGACGTTATTCTATAGGTGAAAGAAAACAAATAAAAATATTTTGAATAAAATATGTAGAGTAAGGATGCAATTCATGATATGATCTATATTCTACCATTTGATTTTACAAAAATAATAACTTTTGTTAATATTTTGTCACTATTTCGCAATAATATTTAGTATATTACGTAGATGTAATAAAATATAAAAACTCTGACTAAATCTAGTAACATAATAACAAAAAACAGGGCTATTTTATTGCTTAAATTATCTTTGCATATGTCGTTTAAAATAAAAATGATTTTATGGTTGATTAATTTGGTCAGTTTAATTAATTTTTTGCCTTAGTCAATCAAAACCTTCGGTCTATATATATATGTATTCTATTTACTTAACTTTTCATTTAACTTTAGTTCCTAATTTATATCACCTGCCCTCTTCTGTAAGTGGTAATTTATATTTAGATTGTTAAAAAATGAAATTCTAAGTGAACAGTTGACTGTTCTACTGTTCTAAAAAATATTCAAAAGGGAAAATCAGCTTAATAAAGTTCGGCCATAAATTTTTTCTTTATTTTAAAACTTTTTTGGGGAGAAATTTTTAAAAGTTTAAATTAAAATGAAATGCTAACTAAAAGCATTTCATTTTAATTTAAACTGAATGTCGTGCGTTCAAGTGCCGAAAGAAGGCGAACCTCGAAAAATCAAATATTAAACAATCTTCAATCAATCTTCAGCAGGAAAAAGTTTAAAACCAACTTAATAGAAAATATTAATTGTCGTTATTAGAATTATAGTACATAAATATATATATATGTATATAGGTGTACATAAGTATAATATATATTTTATTAAGCAACATATTATTTTGCTGAGGATATTAATATCATTTAGTTTAAATAGAACGAAGTGATTATATTACAGTTTTTATGTACAATCAGCTTTGTTCCCACAATATACATAAATAGTCAATGAGTTAATTAAAATTAAAATTTATTTTTTACAAAATTAAAATAAAAAATATAAAACAAATACTGATAAAATATTACAAAATATAAACACATAAATATTTGATAGCTTATTAAACCCTTGATATTAGTTTTTCTTCATCTAATTTATTGTGTAATGTTTTACCTTTATTAGGGTCATATCCATACAAAAAAATAGATGCTATAACAATCATTGCTCCCAATGAAAACTGCATTGTCAGTTGAAAATTAAATAAATATATTGAAGCTATACAAGAAATTATTATCGCTAACGAAGTAGCAAATCCTTTTAATATATTGTCCGCATATTTAACAACAACAGCAACGATTAATCCTCCACCAGCTTGCAATAGAATTAAATACCAAATAAATGAATCATATCCGAAAAAGAAACCATTATTGGAAATTCGATGACCATCATTAACTACACAAGTTAAAGCTCCAAACGGTAAGCTCAGCAAACTTAACTGAACATTTCGCATCCATACTGATATATCAGCATCTTTTAAAATTTTTTCAAAGTAAATTCCTGCAAAACCTGAAAGAAAGCAAGCTCCAAGTGCCGCCCAGAGACCTAATAAACGATTTTGTTCTAAATTTCCTGGTGATAGCACATTCTCTTTTTCGGTTTGTGCTAATTGAACCAACACAACACCAATAACTAGTAGCACTAAGGATCCCCATTGTGTATTCAATAATTTTCTTCTAAGAATAAACACGGCAAATAATGCTGTGGTTAAAATTTTCATTTGATATGTCACTTGATATGTAGCGGCATCCAAATGTGATGCAGACACGTATAATAAATTATTTTGCACGATATAAACTAAAGATGGCACACAAACTTTTAAAGTATCTATTGGATTTTCTATGATGACTTTATAGAGAGATTGGAAGAATTTTTTAGTATCCTTACCTTCCTCTATAAAAACGAGAAATAAACATGTAATAAGTTTGACAACCTCGGACATGAAAACGGCTGCAAATTAATAGAATTGTTAATGCATTATTTAATGTAGTTTCTTTTAAACTTACCAGTAGAACTTAGAAATATATCACCTGGTCTTGTTCGTGCATACCGCATACTAAGACCCAATACTGCATTCTGAAGAGTCAAAGTAACTAAACTTACATATTTTAAAGTATTTGCATTTTCTAAAAAAAAATTGAATATAAATTTTAATATTTCACACTAAAGATAAAATTTATATTAAGTGCTATACAAAATAGATTTAATATAATCTCTGCATAATGAATTGTATGCTCAACTTTTTTATTCCAACCGAAACCTCCGTGGTCTCAATTATTAAAAAAAAACTTGGAGAACTTAGAAATCTCACCAGTATATAAAATTTTACATTTGAGCAACTTGTTTACGATACCTATTTTCTCTAATTAAATTTTGATAAAATTTTAAAGCTCTTCGAAATGACCGTATCAACTCAAAAAGTGATTTAAATATTACTTACTCTGAATTATCATTTTTGTTCTTCAATAATTTAACTTATTTTAAAACAATATTGTAAGTTTTCTCTTGCAATATTAATCAACAGTTTCTAATCATTATCACTGTTTTCAGAGTGAAATCTCACACGTAAACAAAAATATTTTGACATAACAAAAACCGATACTGTTTCATTTACCATCGGAGTTGCCAAGAATTAAATAATTTTTGCAAACAGATGTGTATGTAGTAGTAGTCGTGACAGTTGGTGTTGACACAAATTTTTCTACCATTCGTTTTGTAGAAGATACAAATTATTTTTTTTTGATATTTTTGGCATATCAAGTTTCGCTGGTTTGGAATTTTGGGAGTTAGATATTGAACTTACGAGCCGTAAGTCTCACATTATTATTTCTTATAAGAAAAGGCTTAAAAGAATTCAGATTATATTTAAAAATATAAAATATATAAATATACATATTTTACGTCATATTATAAAAATGTGTTGCATCATCAGGAGGAAATTCAAAAGAAAATAATCAATTAATATAACACATTACAATTATTTAATTTTAATTTTATCATAAAGAAACATAGATAAAATGATAAAAAAGCACGAACATTTACAGAATTAAATTTTTATTACAATCCTTTTCGTGACTTTACATTAAAAGTAACAATTCTCTTACATTTCTCACGTCATGAAACAGAAAAGTCATTTTATATAACGCATTGTCAGAACGTAAGGTTTTTCCTGACTTTTGAATGAATGGTTAGCATACATTTCGTTCCTCTTGCAAACAAAAGTTGTAAAATTTTTCTGCTTTCTGTTTTCGAAAAAGAATTTGAAATTTTCTGAACTATTTTGCTGCATCTATCATCTTGAAATGTGTCAAAGGCAACTTTCTGAGTCAAAAAATAATGTGGCACTATTCCTCTTTATATATGTATGGCTGTATATGTTTGTGAATACTGTAGAATTCTTTTTTCTTAACATTTCAAGAAAGTTTACAGGTTATATTTTTAATAACTGAGAAAGATGATTCCAAAAATAATTATTGAAAAAACAGCAAATTATTTGAATATACCAGCAAATAGTATAACATTTAATGAAGAACAATTTGCGTCTGATGTCAATCATAAAAAAATTGGTCAATTTAACGCTATTTTGAATTTAATGTGCAATAAAGCAAAATTAGAAGGACCTGAAAAATTCAATACCGAGTTGGAAGTTGAACTCTACCAATGGTTGGAGTATGCGATTATGTACGTTATACCCGGATCAAAGGATAGATCTATGTCATTTAACTTACTAAAAACACTCGATACACATTTAATGAACCAATCATATTTATGTGGCCAATTTCTAACATTAGCTGATGTCTTAAATTTTTATGCAATTTTTGATGTAATAAAATCTTTGAATCCATCTGAAAAAGAACGATTTATTAATTTATCTAGATGGTTTGATCACCTACAGCAGAAGGAAAATATAAATCAGCAAAATAACCTAGTGAATTTCACTGTTCTTCATTTAACCGGTGAAAATCAAAAAATACACTAATGTTGGGTTGGTAAAAAAGAATTTATCAATAAAAATATGTAAGAAAAAGAACAAATAGGTAACTTACCTTTAGTGTCAGAAATACTTAATTCAATAGTTAAGAAAATGGCATAATTTTTGTATAATTTATTATTTTACCAAGCGAATTGTAATAATTAATTTCATTTTTGAAAACAAGTTTTCGTACGTAATTTTTTATTAATTTTTCAGGTTCAAACTAGCTCCTGCCTATACATATAATTATAATTGGAATAAAAATTAGTATTTTAGTGTCTTAAATTATGATCATAATTTAAACAGAAGGCTGTACAAGTAATTAAAAATTAAGATGGAATATTTATTGAAACAAGAGTTTTTTTTTCAATCAGTACTTAACTGAGGTACAAAACTATATTTGAATAAAAAGATTCTTAAAGAACATGTAAAACAAATATTTGGTTTCGGGAAAATAACCCGTCACTGATTTCAAATCCTCTCGAATTTGTCTTTTTCTGACAAATATTGAATAACTTGATCATGGCTACAAAACTAGTTATTCAAATGAAATGTAGAAATATTGAATAAAAATATTTGAATAATTTACAAAAAGATTGTAAGAGTTTTACAAAATTATATCAAAGTAATATAAAATAACATTCATGAAAAGGTATAAGCACCATTTTAAAAACAAAGGCCCTTATTATGAAAAAAAAATATATCGTACGATACACGATATTTCTGATAGTATTACTATTAGTAATTCCTAAAACAATTTGAGTTCAACATAGTTTTGTCAATTTCATTTAAAGAATTGTAGCCAAGTAATAGGCAAACCAATGAATAAGTGGCATAAATGGAACAATAAACCTAAAACAAATAGATGAAATCATTATTTCATTGATATTTTTAATAGATTTTAATTATGTATTAACTAATAGTGAATATTAATTTCAATTAAAAAGTAAACATGGCTCTGTGATTATGGTATTGATTTTTTTATTAATTCTCGATTCTGCATCAGCTATGTAGTGTGTACATTTCACCATTGAAATGTATTTTTAAATTTTACCCTTTTGAACCTTGCCTATATACGTACATACATGTATATCTGATTTCCACAGTAAAATTATATCCATAATATCCCCATAATTAATCAGATATTTACTCATTCTATTAATAATATTATGTACAATTATACAATTGAAGCAGTATTATATTAAAATTCTAGAAAAAAAAATAGGTGGGAAAAATATATTTTATAAAAAACAAAAATTAATTCGAATTAAAAACAGTGCTATTAAAATAATTTTTTAAATTTAACATGAGAGCTGTAAATTGCTCGAACTTTTTTCTACATCATACTTATATTTTTATTAACCTGAAAAGATTGCATTTTTTATTTTACCGTTATATCAGCTTTAATAAGGTGGATTTAAGTAATAAATTGACTTAATATAGGGTACAAGTGGGAGCATTTAATTATCTACATTCAAAATTTGACCGTACTTAAATACTATGTACGAGTATAAACGAAGGTATACATCAAATACCAAATTCAAATAAATCCGAAAATTACGCTTAAATTAATCAACCATACCTATGTATATAAATATACGAGTAGATTAAATTTACTCTTGTGAATTTAAAAAACATTATAAAATGCTATGATAAGAATATATTTGCCCCATAATATTTACCATACTTTCTATATATATCATTGGAAAATTAAAACGAAATAAGAATTTTCAAATTTTGTTTTTTATTTCCGCAACCCTTATGTATAAAAGATAAGACATTTAATTTATTTTTTTAATTTTAATCGGATTTTCGTGTTGAACATACTTACAGTGAAAATTATTTTTTCATTTAATAAATTCAAAATGAATTTCAAATTTTTCAATAATATTTTTGTCGTTTGCGTAAGTGATTTTGTTAATTTTTTTTCATTTTTATTGTACTAATACCAATTAAAATCAAATAACAATTATTTTGAATTCAAAAATAATAATATTATATTATAAATATTATTTCAGCTTTTGTTCTTAATGAAAATTGTATATTGCGAAGATCTAACAGATATGGTAGCCGAGTGTGCAAAAGCAAATAATATTTCTAGTGAACTACTCAAAATTATCTATACTGATATAACACAAGTTGAAGAAACGGATGATATTTATGGATATGCACACTGTATTTTTAGTAATATGAACGTTTTTGATAAAAATATTGGTTTTAAAAGTGATCGTGTTGCACATTACGGTTTAAGTTATTTAACATTTTTTAATATGTGCAAACATACTACACGTGGAGATATGTCACCGGGGCAGTTTTGTTGGATGGTTGGAAAATGTATGATGGAAAAAATGCAATCCATTAGAGATAATAGTTTAGCAAGTTTAGTAAATTTTTCTAAATTGTACCAAATGACATAATCATATATAAATAACTTATATTGAGACTTTAAATATACATGCATGCATATATGTATGTATGTATATTATAACTTATCAATTTAATATATGTATTTGAATAAGTATTTATGTAACAATGCATTTTATTTCTGAAATTTTAAATAAGCAAAATCAATTTGTAATATAAAATACTACTGAATTTAATATTTAAAGAAATAAGAAATGCAATTGTAAGTTTACCATAAAATAAATTTAAATATAATCTTTTATTGTTTTATAGTTTATTATTCAACTTTGGAAAAGCTATGTTTTAAAATTTCTATTTGTATTTAAATAAAATAATATAATTAGTGATTGTTATATAAAAATTCCGAAAATTTTATATAAAACCAGTTGTTTAATCTGTAATCAATCCAGAATTTCTTAGACTTTTTCAAATGTTTAATCTTATTAAACCGTTTAAATATAGTTAATTATGCATATATATATATTTCTATTATATATAAATTCATATATAAATCTAAGAAATAATCTTTATATACAATATTGTTTTTTGGTACCCATAACATGTATGTATGTACGTTTTACCTGTATTCGATTATTTACTTATTTTCAAAATATTGTATAAGCTGCTTTTCAAAGTTCACAAATTTAAGTAAATATCAAGCGATTGTGAAACAGAATACAATATTTTATTTAAAAAAAAGTTAGTAAATATTTTCATGTTATAATAAAAACAAATTGAAATTAAGTCGCTGATGGCATAGTCAACAATAAAATAGCTTTCGTGTAGCAATAATTTCAAATAGAAAATTTTGTTTCTTCTTTTTAAAAAAAATTAGGCTATTTACCTGTTAGTCTGGGCTTAAATTTTCCTTTTCATATAGGTTTCTCAATTGTTCAAATTTAAGGAGGACACATGTACATACATTTTGTGTTGAACAAAAATACAAGATTTGATATTTGCATAAATATAATTGAGGTTTCAATATGTCCACATTCCGTACAAAAAGGAAACAAACAAAGTTTCGTGATAATCTTTTATTCTCCGAAAATATAAAATATGTATATCAAAATTTTATGGTAAAATCTTTTTGAAGATCGCAACATTTCACAGCAATTATACTCGCTAAATAACATTACCTTCAACGTACTTAAATATTTTACTTACTATCATTATTTTCTACGATTAAAATTCATCTTTATTTTTTATCTTCAGTTCAAGGAATATTTATGCATAATTAATTTTTGATTTCCTCGTCTTTCATTCAATAAATCTAGTTAATGATTACCATGTGTTGAATATACTAATAAATTTTCTTTTAATGATAATACATATTTATATAGTATTTTTCAGAAGGTTGTTTATACAATATAGGAGATAACCTTTCGCTGTCTCATTTAGAGTTCATGAATTCAATTTTTAGAAAAGAAATTGGTAATTTGCGTTTATAAAAAACAATTTTGTAAAATAAAAGGTTATAAAGAATCCTTCTTTTAGTTGAGTTCAAAAAAGTTCATATAAATTAGTGTTTAGGATAAAAAAAATAAAAAAAATATTTATTTCAAAAGATATTTTTAAAATATTTAATTTACCATACAAATTATTATCAGCGAACTTTTTTTTTTGGTTGGCGACTGAGGCCTTCACGGCCTTCTCATCGACCGATCTATAGGATTTTTTGTGATTCTCATCCCCATCTCAGATTTAACCATTTCCATCGTAAAAATCGCGAATTCACACAATAAGTGCTCTAACTTCATTCTCTTCCAGGCAGAGACGGCAGAACTCGCTATCCATTTTACCCATCCTTTTCAGATTGGCCATCGGGAAGCTGTGTCCGTTGGCATTACAAATCATGCCTTCAGAAAAACGAAAGGATATGTTTCCCACTCCCCTCCGGCCATCAGCTTTTCCATTTATCCCGTAATTTCTCGACATCCACATAAAAGTTACCTTGTTATATCTAGTCAGGACGTCAAAAACATCAATGCATTCCCTTAGCAGTTTGAATCCCACTATATCTGGCCGACGGGCCTATAAAAACGGCCCTACTCTCATTGAATTTATATATTTAAAACTTTATTTTCTAAAATAGTGCTATTTTTTTTTTTTTACTGATGAAAAAACCTATAGTTTCTAATTTGCATTTAATAATTCTTCAATACTATATAAATTGCTGTTGACTGAGCTCATCGTAGTAGGGTTAAACATTTTGTTAAAAATTCTAAAATAAAAAATTTATTCTTTATCAATAACGAATCTTCTATTTTTAATTAAAAAATTGCTAAATTTCAAATTTGATCTCTGTTAAAAGCTTTCTCAATCAGTTATTTGTTCTATATGTATGTGCAAAAGTGTAAAGATTGCTTTAAAAGCTTCCCTTTTTTAGTTATTCCGGGCAAATAAAAAAGTCTTGATTTCTGTCGCTTTACTATGTATATAAGACTCATATATAAGAATAAATAGGTCTTAACAAAATTTTATATTAAGTCAAAATTTTCAAATTAAGTGTCGAATAATTAATTTTTATATTTATATTTTAGAATGTTGCCACATAACATTTTTTTTTATTGATAAAAACCAATAAATAGTATATATGTATATATGTATGTATATAGAATAAATAGTAAGCTATCCAACTAATATTTTAATTAATAATAATTATTGCCAATAAAATTTTATTTTATTTAATTGTAATGTATAAGTAAATATGTAGCTGTCAGAATAAATTGTTTAATATATTATGCAATTAACTAAAATTATTATTTTAATGAAACGGTTAAAGATAATTTCCTTCTACTATATATTTTTTTTTTTCAAAATGAATCAAAAAATTATTTAAACTTTCATTATAGTAACAGTTTTCTGTTTATCTTCAACACCTGTATTTGGTTGATTTGAACTCAAAAGATGTTTTGTAGATGCACTTGAAGAATAACTATCGCCAGAACTTCTTGTTGATGCAGAATTACCACTTATAGGACTATCTATTTAAATAAATTCAATTAAAACAAAAATTGTATTTCTAGTCAAAAGTTTCCACAACAAATAAATTATTATTTTAAGTTTTATCAACAAATTGTAAGCGTAATTAATTTTAATTTTAAGAAATTTTGTTTGATAAATCTTAAAATGTATTTTTTGTGTTTTTCTATTGAAGAAAGAAAAAAAAAAAACTATAAACTTCTGAAATGTTTTACAATTCTAATACAAGTTTAGAATCTTCTTTTTCATGCTAAGTAATTCCTTAACAAGGAACAAAATTGGTAATGTTAGTAATCCGAAATTACATAAGAATGAATTAGATTTTCATTAGAATCTAATTTGACTTTAATTCGGATCCTTTTACTTTCGCTTTTATCAAAACGTTATTAATCGGTTTTATTCATGTGTAGAGGAAGAAAAAGCACACAATTTCTAGGAGCTTTATATTATAAATAAAAGAAAGAAAAGAAATTCAGTTCATGAAATTCTTGCAAGTATAGTAATTAGCTTAATTTAATTAAAGTTTCAGAAAAAAAAAGTGATAATTAAAATTTTAAATTTTGTTTAGTTTTACATATTCATATTTGGTGTACAATAGTTTCTGTAATATAAATAGATCTATGTACATAATACAAATCAAGCGAATAAAATTCTTGTTTCTCTTATAGCAAAATTATGCTAAAATTTTTGTTTCTAAATTCTAAATCATTTAAAATTTATAGAATGGCACGTTTTTTTTGTTTAATCTTACAGATACAAAATTATTTTAATAAAAAATAACTACAACTTTTTTATTTTATAATATTTATAATCTGTTATTGTGACTAGTTTTATTGTAATTAGTTTAAGAGTGATTGATTTCATAAATTATTTAACTTTCACCACATTTTAAAGAAAAAAGAAAACTGTTAAGTGTTAGTTTCTAAGATTAATTAAATTACAAATTATTTATTGTATTGTTTTAAAATTCATTTGCTCGAAATATAAAAATTCTAATTTAGAAAATAATTAGAATAAATTATCGTGTATTAAATATTCTAATAATATAAATAGATGAATATAATATTTACATATGGCATATTAAAATGTTTTTTGTCTTACAAAAATATTTAAATATGATTATTAAAATATATGTATTTGTAAGACAAATATACTTATTTAAAATCAAAAACTAAAACTCTAATATTATACAGTAATTTTGTAAGAATTAAATAAATTAAGTATCTTTGGAAAACCGATTCATACCAAATTGTAATAACAAAATATTAAATGCAATTTACCTGGTAAGGAATTGACAACATCTTTAATATTTTTAATTGGTGATGGTATTGTATTATTTGTTACTGAACTGTTAGTTGATGAAGTTTTATTATTTACTGAAGTAGTATCATTGTTGTCTACCATTTCTTTCTGCGAAATTTTATAATTTAAAATATTGTTCTTATTTTTTTTTTTCTTAAAAAACACAATATTTTGTCAATTAAACTACAGAGATTTATAAACATTTGGTTTTTTTTTTTTTTTTTAATGTAATGGATTTTTCATTATAAATTTGTATTTAATTACTTATGATAGTTAAAATAATGCGAGACTGTTTTATTAACATCTTTGTATATCATTATGATTTTAAATTTAAAAGATTATGCAAAATGTATTTTTTTGTAGCTCTATTGAAATATGAATAAAACAAAGGGAGAATTTAATTAAATAAAAATCCTTATAATAGAAAATAAACATAAATAAGAAAAAGAAAAAAACACAAAACTTAAAATTTTTTAAGAATAATTCGTAAAATTTGTTAAGGGATTTGTGATTTGTTAAAAATTAGTAAGTAATAAATATGCCTAAATATCATCTTCATTTCAATTCATTCTAGGTTTTAAAATTGCACAAAATCTTTAAATATACAAAATAATTTAAATTGTTCGAGTTTCAGAGAAAGGGTTCAAATTTTCAAGCTAAACTTGTTTTTTTTTTTTTATAAATAACTTTAAAGATTCACTATTTACTATTTTTTCAACGTTTAACATTTATCTTTGTAATGGAATCAATAAAGGAAATAAGGAAAATTATAATACGTACTTGTAAACCTTAAATATGATTGTAAATTATTTAATGAAATAAAAAATATTTCTGTATTAATTTTTTGGAGTAGCATCTAGTTATATTGTTTGAAAAAAAAAATTGGTATGTATGTATGTACATTTTAATATAATAATTAGGATAGCAAAATACAATTGGTATCAAATTTATATTTACATTTTTTTTTTCTAAATAGTATTTATAATTTTTTTTTTTTTTATAATTTTAACTATTTAAACTTTTAAACAATATAGCTAAAACTTAAATACAATTTAAAAAAATAAAAATAATTAAAGAAAAAAATAAATGAAAGATAATGTATGTATGTATGTTTTAAATTGTTTAAGGCGAATATCTTACAATATTAAAAATATAATGTGCTAATAACGATTTTAAACAATACTGTATAATAATTAATATATGATTTTAAAAATTAACAAAATAAAATTTAAAAATAAAAAGAAAATAAAAAAGTTAAAGAAAATAATACTAAAAATAAAAATACTAAACCCATACATTTTGTGGGCAGAGCGGACTTAATATAGATGTTTGAGGATCTTCCGGAGTAAAATAATCGGAATCCTCAGCGTCAGCCAATAAGGACCCATCACCATCAGTTGAGAGTGAAGGACGAATTCGTTTTTTCTATAAATTAATATACATTTTTTTCACTTTCCATATTATGCTAAACTTTTTAGCAAAAGCTTTGTTATATTATTATAATAACAAATTGTAATCTATTAAGTGTTTATAATTTAAGATGTTTAAAAGAATTTTTGAAATTTTTCACTAAAAAAATATTTTTTTTTTTAATAAAAGTTTTAATTGTAATTATTATAATATCCAGCTTTTACTATATAGTTCCTTTGCAGATTATTATAAAGCTTTAACAAAAAGTTAATATAACTTATAACTTAATATTAAAATAAGTGAGAAATGAATGATTTTGTTAATTTTTTAATCCTATTCCAAAGGTATGGTTAAGTTTGTGAAAAAAATTTACTTTTACCTTTTGCGCATCAATTGGTAAATCTTCTTGATCTGTGTCATCAACTGATTCTTCAACATCATTGATTTTTAAAGTTGAAAGCGGAATTTCTTTTTCTTTATCGTTTGGTGAAAGTAATGGTGATAATTTTTCAACATCACTATCATTTTCTACATCTTTACTAGTTGGTGATTGTAATTTTACACTATGACGTTCATTAATAATTTGTAAGCTTTCCCGGCTTGATTGACGTTTATGCGACTTTTCTCTTCCTGATGATTTTTCACTATTGATTGAAGAACGCCGATTATTTACTGTCGGTGGAGGAGAATTTTTGCCAACCGAATTATTATCATTGGCAATATTATCTTCGACTGATTTTGTTGTTGATATACGAAACTAAAAATTTTTGAAATATTTAGTATTATATTTTTTCTTTGACTTATCTTTATGGAACCTCCGAGGATGTGTCTTTTGATTTCTTCGATCGCTTTTGGCTACCACTTTTAGGACTTGATTTTTTTTCAAGCTTGTGAAGATCAGTTCCCTGTACAGTATCACCATCTAATATGTCGCCGCTATCTACTGAATTATTTCTACATACTTGAGGAGGACCATTTAATGCCTCAATCAAGGATACCGGAATATAACCTGGTGGAATATGTTCGCTATTTGTCTGTTAATTAGAATAAATTTATTTTTTCTTCATTATTAATATTTTGAAATATGAACTCACATCTTGAGCATTTTGAGCTATTAGGCTGGTACTGTTAACACCTTTTTTAACAGCTCTTATCTAAATTACAGTTAAAAAATATTATGTAAGTTTTAATAAAAAGAAAAAAACTTCACCTGGAGCAGAGCTCTGAATGGAGCTCGACAAATTGGACAATTATTTGCTTGATATCTTAATGAATCAGCACACGAATTACATAAACATAAGTGACGGCAAGGTAAAATGAGGGTATCTCTTGTGTCGCTCATGCATATAACGCATTCACTTCCATTGTCATCTGTATCTTCATCAATTGCTGGTTTATTCAAGGTTTTGTTTTCTATACCATAAATTTCTTGTAGAAGGTAACTAAGTCCATCGACAAAAATTTTTTGCTTAAGTGCTCTCAAAGCATATGTCCCATCAGAATGATGATCTACGACACATATTGTAGTATGAGATTGTCTGGAATCTTCAAAATTAAAAAGAATTTAAGATGCAAGTATTATTTAATTGTACTGAGTGGCGGATACCTTCAGCACCTTCTTCAATAACACAGTGTATCGCTACAGGAAATACATCCGCATCTGATTTATAAGACAGTTCTTCATCGGAATATAAATTTGGATGAAACATATGCAGGGGTTGAGAAAAGTATTGGTTGACGCCTTTTTTGTATCGATAAGTTTCAGATGTTAAAGAAGAGTCTCTTGGAATATATGTTACACTATTTGCCGATATTTCTTCTGTACAAAAATAGTATATAGTGATAGCACAACTAGCGTCTGAATCAAATATAAATTCTATATTAAATGAATTGGATTTTGTTATTGTAACTCCACCACCACTATCTCCATTTTTTATTATATTTTCAGAAGATTTAACGAATCGCACTGATTCTTTGCGAATGTTGACAAGACTTTTCAATGTTTTTGTGGGCTCATTTGCTTGCGGGGGAGGATATGGAAACTAAAAAAAATATTTTAATGATACTATTAAATTTAGTAAGTAGTTATTTACTGCAGTTGGTCGACCTCCCAAAAAGTTTAAATCGGCATTTTCACCAAAAAGATATGCTTCTGGCTGCGGAGTATCAAATCTTTCTCCCCCCATGATAAAGTGGCTTCCAAAATAATTTCCTAGTTTGGTATTACATATACATACGTAGGTACAATACTTTTATTCATTGCCTTATTTACAAAATTACCTGTTTTCGGAGGATATTTGTAGGATGAAGCTGATAAATCGGTCTCTTCGACAGTTGTACTTTGCCTACTCGTTAAAGACCCCATTGATTTACTTTTATTTTTATTTATTTTTAATTTTATTATGTACGTCCAAATCAATTTATTTTAAACAAAAGATACTTTTCATTTGACAGCACTTTCAATAACTACGTTTATGGCTTAGCTAAAATAGGCTGAACTAGAATGCAATTGCTAAATTGACTTTGACGGCTGGAGCTAGTTTTTACTTTATACAGGCTTTACAAATGGTTAAACAACAAAATGTGACATTTATATAAGTTGAACCTTAAGAATTTTTTGGCTTATATTTGTAAAATTTACTATATTTTTCTCCTGCTTATTGCTTTCTTTTAATCTAATTTGCCATTTGAAAGTTATGCTTATCTCAAATCCAATAATGATTTGTTATAGCGGCCTTGTTATTAATTAATCTAGTATTTTTCCGTATAAATCCAATGGTCGCTTAATATAATTTCAACTACGGTATAAATACAGCCAATGTCATTTCATCATTCTGAAAACCCTACTTACTTGAGAAAACTGGATTTGGAATTTACTAGGAGCAAAATTTAAAAAATTTAACAAAAGTACTTGATATATAAATGTATCACGTACATTTGAACGTGATACATTTATCACGTACAAATTTGAACAAAAGTGAAATTTTTACTCCGATTTTAATTAAATAAGTGGAATGTCCAATATGTAAAAAATGACAAAATTTCATTTTTTTGAAAATGCATTCCAAAAAATTAAAATGTAAAAAAGAAAATTAAGAAAACACTTTTGAATTTTTGAATTGAATTGAAAAAATATGAGTTCAAACCGATATTATAATTTTGATGTTAAATTTATTAAACAAGATATTGAAATTTTATGACAATCTTCATATAATAATTTAATTATATATATTCACTTTCAGCGAAAATATAAATATATTGCATATTTGGATATATTTACTATATATTGTACATTTGGATTATATAATCTAAACAAATATCTTACTATTAAAGGCATTCATACAATATGTTTCCTTTTTTCTAAGTAATAGAAAAATACTAGAACGAAATGTTATGACTTCCAATAGTAATAGAAATTTTGTTTTCGATGACAAGAAATAAAAAATTTATATATCAACTTTAATCATTTATGAGGACGGTAACACATTTTTTTACTTGAAAATTCCCAAATATTAAACAAGATTTGTTAATTGGGTGAAATTTTATGAAATGTTGAGTGTTGACATAGCTCCCTCTGTAATTTCAAAGTGATAAAAAATGGTGAAACACTATGTCATATTCATATGAAATAAACAAAATTTTTAGATGGACGACTCGTTTTTTGGCTTTGATACATCAGTACCAGTGAGTTTTGAAAAATTTTTGTAGTCGAAACAATTAAACTTTTATATTTTACGAACATTAAATCGTTATAATTGACTTGAAATAATGAACCTTAGTAATGGTGGTCTGACAAAACAAAATTGATACCAAGAAAGAACGCAAAATTTTCTGTAGAATTGTCAATTATCTTCTATATTTTTTAGTCTTAATTTTTTCTTAAAGTTAAATTTCAAATAATATCTTTTCAATCCGGAAAATATAGTAGTGTCTTAATAAAGATTAGCCTTTGATTGAAAAAAAGCTCGTAATTAACTGTTTTATTATTTCAACTAAATATTAAGATTACACGTCGAGTTTTTTCCCGGTAAAACGAAAAGTGTTATGCTAATTTTTGTTCAAAGTTAATATCAAATTTAGGCGCTGCCTTCATATTTTCTAATATGTTAAATTTGGTGTTCAGTTTATTTATTTGCTTAAATTGTAAAATTAAAACAATATCAATTTGTTTGCGCATATATGTATATGTAAATGCATGCCGAATTTTACACGAGTTTATGTTTTTAAGTATATATTAAACAGATGTTTTTATTTTATTAGGTTGAAGATGATGGAAGTGGTGGTATTGGTGACTGCGATCTTTCCGAACCCCCGGAAGATGTGTTTGATGCACTCAACGATGAGACATTTGGGTCGGCCATCAATGGCGATTGGGAAAAATCCCATGAGCACATGGTTAAACTTGATAAACTTAAGAATGGACCTAAAAAATCCGTAGATTCTCTATTAATTAATGAAGATGAAGAAGACGAAAATGAAAATGTGGAGCATAACGAAGAAGAAGAAAATTATGATTTAGAAATTAGCCTTTCACAAGTAAAATTGGACGATGTAGATATTTCTTCAGATGATACTGAGACTCGACTCCAGTTAGATCCGAGTGTATGGGCAAATCCTGTAAAACCAATAACTCAGCCAATTTCGCGGCCAGCGGAGTCAGGGTACACAAATCCTGAAGCATTTTTACGTCGTCATTTTTCAAACCCTTTTGAAATTTTGCTTTCCCAACCACAACAAATTCAACAACGTCAACCGTTTTTTACTAATCAAACTTCTAATGCAGTGCATATACAAAATCAGTCTTTATTTCCGCAAAATTCAAATAGAAGAGAGCCACAAACAACACAGCAACAAAAATCAAAACAGCCTCTGACAGAACAACAATCTCTTATTTCTCTACAAAACATGTTTTTTGCACCCCCAACAAAACCAATTAATATAATGTCTGTTGAAGATATAGAAAGAAACATTAGAAGTCAACAAGAACAACAGAAGCAACAGCAACAACAAAAGCAAATATCAACAACGCAGCAGCAGCAAGAGCAACAAAGACAATTACAACAATTGCAACAAAAACAATCTGTCCAAGCTAAAACTTTGAAAACAGTTAATAAAGTAGATTCTAAGAATGAAAGTTTGAATCAAGTTACGGGCTCAGCTTTTAAAGGCAAGTATATGAAATATTTAGAATCTTTGATAATTATAAATTTATAAAATTTTAATAGAACCAACAATTTCTCAAATATCTTTATCACAACAATCGCAACAAAATCAAGCACATTCTCAATCACAAAATAATCAAGCAAATATTAATTTTTTAAATCGTCCACATTCTGCTGTTCCTCTTGGGTTTAACGCTCCTCGACCCAATTTTAATTATTCATTACAACATCCACTGAATTTAATAACACCGACAAATTCAGGTTCAATGAACAATTTGCAGAATCAATTAATTGGACACAAAAATCAGCAAGGATTTCAGCCACCAAATTTTCCACTATTACATCATGGAATGCCTGGTTCTATTCCTCCTTTTCCACATGGAAATTTTGCAAGACCGATGCCTAACCTTCCAGTTGCTTTAAATAACTTTGCTATGCATCCGAATTTTAGTGCAATGAGGCCCCTGGGACCACCTGTCGGCATGCCTCCTCCAAGAATGCCACCACATCCTGCGTTGATGAACAACTTAATTCTACCGCCTCCTGGAATTATGTACCCAAGCCCTCAAGCACTTTCCATGCAGTTTTCGTCAAATACTAACCAGCTCAATCAACGTTTGATGCAAGAAATTCAACAAAATCATCCAATGTTGGCTAATCGGAACGTTCTATTGAATCATAGTAACCAAAGTCATAATATTAATCATGGTAGACAACATCAAGATAAGTCAAAAGTGGTTGCAAGAGCCAATGGAAATTTGCCTGTGGAATATGATGAATATGCAAATTTAATGAGTATAAGAGATAAACATTGGCTTATTGGCATTCAGTTGTCTCAGTTAAATACAGAAACTCCTTATATTGATGACTATTATTATACAATATACAAAGAGAAAAAGGCAAAACAGAGTGGGGAAATCGGTCAAAGCAAAACGCATAAAGATAATCAGCTTAATCATCCATTTTCCCAACCGAAAGGCCATGCTCAATTGGTTATATTATCAATGGGCAAAAATGGTACGCAAAATCATCGAAATGGACAAAATAATAGAGAGCGCCGAAATTCTGAATCCGCAAATAATAAAGATAAAGATAACCAACAACAACAGAGAAATTTTAATTACACTCCTCTACAATTTGAAAATTCCTTGGGAAAATTGCAATATGGCAGTGTTACAGCGCCTCGTAAAATTATTGACATGGAGATTATGGGTAATGAAAATAGCACACAAACAAATACTCCACTTGAAATTTCTGCGCAACGTAAGTCACGTTACATATTGTTGCAAATTGAAATTCTTTATAAAATTGTACTCAAATTGGAAGATTTAGAAAATCCTGCTGCGATTGCGACGTCATTAATAGTAAAAGTAATATTGCGAAATTAAATTAATTAAGAATTTTGAATAATGTTTGTATGTAATTTTAGGAGAAAAAAGAAAAAGAGAAGCAGATAGTCCTTGAACAAAGCTTTATGAGTGAATTAAATAAAGAAAGTGAAATTGGTGATGGCGAAAATGTTGACTTAAAAACTGAGTCAACTTCAACATCCGTTAGCTCATCAGTAAGCGATAAATACTCGGCATATGAATTAGAATCTAAAGATAAATTGCTTGAAAAATTGATACCGTACCTAACCATTGAAAAAATAACCTCGATGATGTCTGTTCGCAAAGGAAAGGTAAATATTACTAGGTTTTGTTACAAATTTTATGTGCATTTCCAACAAAATTTTAAATTGCTTTTAAATTATTAGATATTAATTAAGCGTATATTACCACACATCATTGATAATCCAATACGTTGGACGGTTTGGATCGGAGTTTTTTCATGTCTTCAAAATGTGCTAAAAAAGGATAAAGATGATAATGAAGGCGCTTTATACAGTTTATATCCTGAATTTAAAAAACAAATTCGACAGGCAGATATGGAAATTTGTAATAAAATTGCAAATTCAATGCGATTAAATGATAAAAAATTAAATGGTTTCTTTTCAAGCAAGGTAAAAAAAAAATGATTAGAAATTATTACACGAAATATATAATTATATCGTAAACTGCTTTTAAAAAATTTATTACTAATATACATATTTTGATTTTATAGTTTTGTATTTCTTCTTTGGTATCATTACTACTACGAGCAGAGGAAATTTATGCTGAATCAGAAGATCTAAGTAAAAGTGAAAATAACTCAAATAAAATCTGGTCGGAATTTTTATCAATTTTATCAACTGCATTGAATCGAACAGTAGAAAATCAAACTATAACAGCGGAAATTGAATCGTCAGCAATTAATCCTTTGGTAACACATTTATCACGTTTCAAACACTTAAAACTAGATTCGCTATTAACTCTTTTTTCACAAGATAAACAACAAGTGGAATAATGTTTACGTTCTTTTTTTTTTTTAATAATACTTCAAAAGAAATCAGCAAATTTTTCGTTAAAAAAAGAAAAAAAAAACTTTTTGATAACTTGCAAAGCTAACTAAAGAAAAAAAAAAACAAAAGTAAAAAATTAAATCAAAAAATTTAAGGAAACAATAGTCTGTGTTTAGGTCTTAAGAAATGTTTAATTTTATTTCGTTGTTCAAATAGTAATTTGAATTTATTTGCAAATTATTCAAAAGTTTTTATATTATTGAATGTCGAATGAAGAAAAAAAAAGAAAAAAATGAATATTTAAGTTTTAATATTAAAAGTAATTTAAAAAATAAAAAATATAATTCACCTTTTTTTTCAATAAATAAATTTTTGTTAAAATCTTATACATATATATTTAAAATGAGCTCTTTTAAAAATTTTCTTATTTATACGATATATTAAAATATTTTTAGTTAAATTATTTTGTAAGTGTATATCTCTGTATGTATATATGCATAAATCATATTATATTTAATACCATATTAATTAACATGCATAAAGTTTGGACATTTTTTCTTTACTTGGAAATTAATCTTTAATATGTGTTTTAAATATTATTTTTATTTCATCTATGTAAATATATATATATACATATATGTACGTAGTATGTGTGTAATATATTAATTTTAAAAGTTTAATATTTGTATTATCCCTATGACATATTATGTACAAACATATTACTTCAAAAATATTAAATATGTATGCAATTTTAAAAAAATACAAAAATTTCAAAATTCAAAGCTTATTATTCGAAGGTTCCCCTCTGTTAAATATATTTACGTAGGTACATATATTTATATAGAGTTGTTATAGCGGTAACATAATAAGTAAAAAATTTTAATTTTTCTAGAAATAGCAGATGAACATTAATATAAAGAAAGCTAACAGAAAATCATGTTATTTATAAAATAATTTTAAAATTTTTAATAAATTTTTTAGAATCAACATTGAATTTTGACTTAATTATGCAATATTTTTTTAATTTATCCACAATACACTAAATTCTCATATATTGTTATACAAAACAAAAAAATTAAAAAAATATACCTATTATTTAATTTAGATTGTTTTTTTGTAAGAAAATTTTATAATTTAGGTTACTTTTATAATAATTATGAATGTTATTATAGTTAATTTAAGTTGACGCAGGTTTCACATTTATTTTATTGTTGGTTTTGGAAATATTTAATATGACCATGCATATATATATACAAAATTTAACAATGTAAACAAATACAAAAAAGATAAAAAACGAAAAGAAAAAAAAAAATATGAATTACAGAAAATTTTTATGTCGCTGTGGATTGTTTTTTGAAAAAATTCGCAATTCTATTATTTTAACAATTTTGCTTTTTATTAACGACATTTTCAAGAAAAAAAAAAATACATTATGAATGAAATATAATTGTTTTATTAATCATTGAGTAATAGTAATAAAGGAAAGTTTATGAATTGCTTTTTTTTCTAAAATAGAGATTTGAATTGAAAACTTTAAGTTAAAAAATACTTGATTATATTAAAACATCAATGATACAAAAAAGAAAAAAGAGAATATAAATAAATATCAAAACAAAATTTTGAAAAAAATCACATCAATTTATTTTAAATATAAAAATTTCAATATTCAATTTTAAAATTAGCAACTCAAAGTTTAAAAATGTTAATTTTAGTAATGTTATACGCTATGAATATTTCTTTCTGAAGTAGCTTTATTTTTATAATTTAAAATTTGTTATAAATAAAATTTAAAATATAATCACGTTCTTATGAACTTTCCAAGTAATATTTTTTCCCTTAAAAATGAGAAAAAAATCAAATTTTTATAATAATTTTTATAATTTTAATTTAAACAAGAACCTAAAGTAGTTTATTTATTCAAATTATCCAATTATGATTTTTATTTAAATTTCTATTTGAAATAAATAAAAAAATAATTTAAAATGTTAACAATATTACCAAACTTAATTATTTGTGCTTGCTTATTTAAATAAAAAGTAGTTTTGAAATTTACTATATTTTTTATAAAGAAAAAGAATTATTTTTAAAATTAATCAATTAATTAAAAAATATAAATTTTTTAATTAATATTATTAAAAAACAAACATTCTTTTTTCGTTCTTCTTTTAATTTTACAAATAATTGAAAAAAATTTATATATATATATATATATTTTTTATTTTATTTTTTAACTTAATTATACCAGGCTAAATTCGAACTACATTAATAGTGTGTACATGCATATTATAAATATTAAATTCACATAAATATAATTTATGTGATATAGATATTATTGTTTCATCTTGTCACATAAATATAAATGCACCTTTTTTCAAAAAAAAAAAATTAATAGGATTTATTTTTAATTTCTAAGTGACATATAAAAATTCTATATTTCTTTTAAAAAACATTTTAAGCGTTTATAATATAATCAGCAGAATTTTATAATTTCAAAAATTCAATATAAATGTTCTTGTATATTATAAAATAATTAATTACACCTCACTTAAATTTTTCAACAATAATTGCTTCAACAGAAAATGAAATATTCAAAAAGATTTTTATAAAATTCATTATATGAAAATAATATTTAAAAAAAAAATTTTAAAAAATTTACTATTTAAAACAAACAAAAACAAAAAAAAAGTCAAAATTCATATTTCATAAATCTCTATATAGACGCACTAATGAAGGAATTTTGTTTTTTTATTAATAAAAAAGTAAATAAATAAATTTAAAATACAAAAAACAAAAAAGCAAAAAAAAAAAAAATATAAAAAAATTTTTTTAGCACAAGTGTGTTTGCAAAAATAAAAAATATACTAATATTTTTTGCTAGTAGTAAATACAGAAAATTGGAAAAAACTTCACACTATTTTTAATATTTACAAAATGTCTTTCATTTCTTTCTTTCATCCTTAATTCTTTGCTCTTTTTTTTTATTTTTCAAAATTATATTATTAAAAATTTAAAATAAATAAATCAAAAAAAAAAAAAAAATATTTTTTAAAATTCTACCTAGATAAATTGTATTAATGCTTCAAAATTAGAATAAAAAAAAAATAAGCAAAAAAAAAATTAGTAAGAAAAAACAAAATGAAATATTATGTATATATATACATACATACACATACGTATATAATGCAAATGGCCTGAATATAAAATTTGAAAAAAAAAAAAACAATATTTCTATTTTCTTAATTTAATTATAAAATCAAAAATATTTAACAAAATCTAATCAATAATGCTTTTAAAAAATTAAAATTTTAATATAGAACTTTTAAATTTTTCCAGGATATTTTGTACAACAATTGTGTACTTAAAAAATTTTTTATTATTTTGAAAGGGGGAGGGGGGTGGCAGGTTAATCAAGTAGAAGAAAAAGCAAAAAAATAAATACCCTGAATTCCTAAAACTCTTTTCAAAAATTCTATAATCACTAAATAAATTAAAATAATTTTGAATTTAAAATCATAGTAATATTTTTTTATTTAATAAAGCATAAATATAGTATATTTTCTATTTTAAATTAAAATTTACAAATTTATAATAAGAAGAACTAGAATTTATTATTTTTTTTTTTTTTAATATAATTATGCAATTTATGTTACTCTTTATTTAATATTTTTAGCAATAAATTAATTTAATTTTTAATATTTAAATCATGTAAATTTTTTTTTTGCGACACTTTAATTTTTTTTTTTTAAATTCGTATTTTGTAATTTTGTTTCATATAGTTTTTATTTTCATTTTTTGTAATAAGCATACTTATAGATTGAAATGAAATTTTTATTACAATTGCATTAATATTTTTTTTTTTAAATTTACTATTTTTATAAATTTTTACAAAAATTTGTTATTCAGCCCATTTACATTTAATATTATCATTCATATTCTATTAGATTGCATCACTTAACATTATGAGAAATTATTGAAAATTATTTTCAGTTTTCATTATAGAATTTTAAATTTCAAATTTGATTTTATTCTGAAAAAATTCAAAAAAATTTTTCAATAATAACCCATAATAATATGAAGTGATTCAACCAACAGAATATGGGTGTGTTATACGTAATAAAAACAAAATTAATTTAATTAGAAAACGACGATTATGATTTAAAAAAAAATATTTAAGAAAAAAAAAAAAACAAAGAAACAAAAGTAAAAGGTGTGTAACAAAAAAAAAAAAAAAGGATTAAACACAAAAAACACAAAACCGACGATATGTTTGAAAATACCATTTTTATATATACACACACACATATATATATATACATACATAAAAATACTTATATACAATAATAATAATATTCATATATTTTTTGTATAATAATTATTAAAAAAAAAAAAAGAGAGAAAAGTGTCAACATCAAACAAAAACATAAAAAAAATTTTATTAAAAATATAACTGTAAAAAAATTAATTTTTTTAATTTGAGAACAGAAATTATATAAGAAATGTTTTTTTTTTTCTTTTTTTTAATTATAAAAACCAAAAATAAAAAATAAAAATTAATATTATTGCAAAATGGAAAAAGAAAGAGAAAATGGGTAAAAATAAATTAAATAAATTCATTCTAAACAAAACAAAACAAAAAAATAAAAAAAAAAATATAAAACAAAAATTATCTAAAAATAATAAACATTAAGTTTTTTCAAACACATTTTTTATTTAAAATTCTTTTATTATTTAGAAAAGTAATAAAAATTTAGAATAGCAAAGAAAACAAAAATAATAAACAAAAAAATAGTAAATAAATGTGCTTATATAATTATTATAACTATTATTATTATTATTATTATTATTATGTATTATAAAAATATTAATTATTGTAATTATGAAATTTATTATGAAAAATATTCACACATCTATGTATTTTAATTTATATATAATAATATAGATAATGTGTATAATAATTAAAAAATATAGCTATGCTTATTTCTTTAAAAAAAAAAAACGAAAAAAAAAACAAAATATGTAAAGAAAAATAAAAAAAAAAAAAACTTTGAAAGGATGAATATTTGTTCAAAAAATCCTGAATAGTTTATTAATTAAATAAAAAAAAATCTTAATAATAGTGATGTAAAAAAAAAAATAAAACGAAAAAGAGGAAAAAAAATGAAATTTAAATTAATTATTATAAGCTATTTAGTTATTTTCTTTCTTCTTATTTAAAAAAAATTTTTAAATTAAATAAAAAAATTTCTGTAATCACACACACACACACCTTTATATATATATAATAAATTAAAAAACAAATAAAAATTAAATATAAGGGACACCTTTATTTTTTTTTTTTTTAATTTTTTTTTTAAATATTAAAAATAAATGGAGAACATTTGTTATACCAATATTATGGCGTACTTTTTAAAATGCTAATATAAAAATAACGGGAGAAAATATAAAATTTACACAAAAAAAGGAAAAAAAAAATAATAAAAAATATTTTTTATAATTAAAAAAGAAAAAAAAAAAACATTTCATATATAAATTTTTTCATAAATTAAAAAATTTAATTTTTTTTTTAAAAGTCTTCTGTGTTTGTAATATGACGTAAGACTTTTGTAAAATTAGTAAAAAGGAAACAAATACATATATATACATAAATAATATATGTATATAAATAAAAAAATATAATTAAAAAATTGAAAGTATGAAAAAGTTGAAAACACAAGATTAAATTTTTTTTTGGGATATCAAAGAAAATTTGTTAAAAAAAAATGATATCTTAATATTTTTTTTTTTTAAATGAGTGAATCAGGCAATTCTAATATAACATAATATATATATGTACATAGTATATCAATTTATAAATAAATATATATACACACACACACATATATATATAATATATATATCTATATTTATGTAATTTTTAAATATATACATAAATTAAAAATTTCATTTTATTAAAGGCAAAAAAAAAAAAAATGAGAAAAAAAAAACAAAAAAAAAAAAAATAAATATTAAAAAAAAAAAAAAAGAATTTGTTAGACTAAATATAAGGTTTTTATTTTATTTATTTTTTTTTTTTTTTGCAATTATTTTTCAGCAGTAAGAATAAAATTTTATGCAGATTTTAAAAATTTAAAAAAAAATTTGAAAATTTTTTTCTAAATGAGACTTTAAATATTTATTCATTAAAGATTTTTCAAATTATTGAATTCTGAATAATATTGAGGCTACGTTCACATATCAATTAAAAGATTGATGAATATGATAATCGAGATTTTGATTTAAAGAAATTAAATTCATATAAAATTAAACAAAATATGTTTGTAATTGGAAATGTTTTTGAAGAGAAAATTAATGGAACGGTAATATTAAGAATGTTTTCATTTCACATTTTTTATTATTCTTAACAGTTTGATAAGTTTGAGAATTTTCGATTATTCAATTTTAACTTAGGTCTTAATATTAAAAATGTTTGATAAATTGAAATTACAAAATCTGCAAATATAGTGTGTTTAAAAATGACGGTAGTGCTTAAGGCTGGGCTTTTTCGATAATTCAGTTCTAACTTAGTTCTGAATGTAAAGCACGTTCGATAAATCGAATCTGCAAAATCTGTAAAAGTAGCATGTTCGATAATGTTCTCGTGCAAAAAAAGCTCGTTCGAAAATACGATTGAGCTTTAAGTTCTTAGGCAATTTTAAAGATTTTTTTTTAATACTGCAATAAAAGTGAAAATTAGTAAAATAGAAAAATGTCGGGTATTGAAGAATTAATGGGGTAAATTTATGCAATTTTTGTTTTGTACATTTAATAATTTATGTTTTTCTTTCATAGA